GCACTCATGGGCACTGATAGCCAGCATTGAGGAGACAATGATAGCAAGCACTGATAGCCAGCACTTATGGGCACTGATAGCCAGCACTAAGGAGGCAATGATAGCCAGCACTTATGGGCACTGATAGCCAGCACTGAGGAGGCAATAATAGCAAGCACTGATAGCCAGCACTTATGGCCACTGATAGCCAGCACTGAGGAGGCAATGATAGCCAGCACTGATATCCAGCACTTATTGGCACTGATAGCCAGCACTGAAGAGGCAATGATAGCCAGCACTGATAGCCAGCACTTATGGGCACTGATAGCCAGCACTGAGGAGGCAATGATAGCCAGCACTGATAGCCAGCACTTATGGGCACTGATAGCCAGCACTGAGGAGGCAATGATAGCCAGCACTTATGGGCACTGATAGCCAGCACTGAGGAGACAATGATAGCAAGCACTGATAGCCAGCACTGAGGAGGCACTGATAGCCAGTACTGGTGGGCACTAATACTAAGTATTGATGGGGATACACTGATCATCAGGGCAGTGATGGACACGGAGGGACACACAGATCTCTACAGGCTAGAAAATTACATGTAGTTACATACAGTATCTCACAGAAGTGAGTACACCCCTCACATTTTTGTAAATATTTTATTCTATCTTTTCATGTGACAACACTGAAGAAATGACACTTTGCTACAATATAAAGTAGTGAGTGTACAGCTTGTATAACAGTGTAAATTTGTTGTCCCCTCAAAATAACCCAACACACAGCCATTAATAAAACTAAACTGCTGGCTAAAATTAATTTAGAATTCGTTCAAATTCGAATAAACAAAACGAATTCTGAAAAACGAATTAAATGAATTTAACTAATTGAACAAAACAAAATTAGTCAAATAACAAAATGAAACAAAACACATTTTTTCATTTTGCACATCTAGTAAAGAGTGCCCCCTTGTCCTCTGTGAATAACTACACTATATGAACCACTGATGTATTTATACATGTTGACCATGTCCCCCCATAATTTTCTCAAGAGAGAATAAATTCAGTTCCTCTAATCTTTCCTCATAGCTGAGCTCCTCCATGACTCTTCTCAGTTTGGTTGCCCTTCTCTGTACTTTCTCCAGTTCCCTAATGTTCTTTTTGTGAATTGGTGCCCAAAACTGAACTGCATATTCCAGATGAGGTATTACTAATGATTTGTACAGGGGTACAATGATATCTCTCTCTCTGAAGTCTATACCTCTTTTAACCGCCTCCTGCCCACCATATAAGGAAATGATGGGCGCAAGGCGGTTCTTTTGTTCTGGGAGGACGTCATATGACTCCTCCCACTCTAACCGCGCATGTGCAGCTCCCTTGGACACAGCAGATCACCGATCAACAGAAACAACCGAAGATGTCGGCTCGGTCATGTGATCAGCTGTGTCCAATCACAGCTGATCACATGTATATAGGGAAGATTCCGGTTATTGGCATTTCTCTCCTCACCAGCTGTCACGCTGACAGCTCGAGAGGAGAGCCTGTAATCGGTGTGACGATTATGGCGTTAGACCCCCCCCAGCCCTTCTCACCAAACTCGTGACCGAAGGACTTGCCAATCTAAAACCGCGCTGTCACGTGCTTAACAATGCCACGCCCAGCTGCACCCTGCACAAAGATTTTCCAGCTAATGGACCACAACCTGTGTGCCGGAAGCCTGGGAGCGATTGTTACTGGGTCAGGTTAATTACGCAATTAACCCTTCACACTACCACCACCTCCTTTTTGTACAGAGAAAGAGGAAACTCGGCAATATCAGCAATAACACTATGATGTTTGCATAAATGTTGTATGATCCTCCTGCACTTAATGGAGTGCGTATAGTACGAAGCAGCTAGCACTCAGACTGATACCAAACAGTAAAGTAAAGCATATGTAGGAAGGTAGTGCAGCGCTCAATAACACTCTTATATATAAAAAATGGCAGATACATTGAAATAGACTTATACTGCAATAAAACGTCATATACTGAAAGCAAATAAACAATGAATAAATACAATATCGTGATAGATATTAAGCAATAACAGTAACCGTACCCCCCTCACTCCCACTCTATAAAGTGTAAGGTGGGTACAGCTAGTCAAAGTGGGTAAGCACAATCCACAAGATAAGTAATGGTGTTTCAACACAGTAAAACTTCATGCATTGTGTTTAATAACACAGAACATTCAGTGCTGGTGCGTGACTCTCCTCCTCTGGCTGAATTGCCCTCTCACCTCCACTCTGCTACCCAATGGGCCTATGCGCCTTCAAGATCACTAATAGGATCTTTAATCCAATACTGTCAGGTAAGCTCCTCCAGACATCTCATCTGTTAGGGATGGTAAGCTGGATACCTTGGCTCCTGATCACCGCTGGGTGTACCACTCATCCAGATGTTGTAGGATATATATAAAAAACTCTGATAGTGTAGTGTGCCAAAGTAAAGTGCGTTTTATTGAAGAACAAAAGGATTGCACTTACATAGGGATGTCACATAGATTGCTTCCTCCACACATGCATGGGTGTACTGCATGGGAAAAGTGCCTATTTCCTGGGTATAGAAAGATGGCGGCCGTACCGGATGTACGTCACCATGTTCCGGATGCTGCGTCCTTGCGTATCTACGCGTTGCGTCACCGTACACGTAACTTCATCAGGATATGACGTACAACCATGCCACTTTTAAAGTCCCTTTTTTTTTAAAGTCCCCTTTATTCCCCATTCTGATGCTCAGTTTGAACTTCAGCAAGTTGTCTTTACCACGTCTAGATGCCCAAATGCTTTAAGTTGCTGCCATGTGATTGACTGATTAGCACTTTGTGTTACCAAGCAATTGAACAGGTGTACCATAAAGTAGCCGGTGAATGTAACTGAAAGTTGCATTTGCCATAAATTTTGGTTATCTGAAACCTTTCCAAGTGTAAGTGTTTTTCATCCTTGTCAAATCATAACACCATAAATCTCCAAACATATTGTATATTTACCCACACTATAAGGGCTCTCCCTACCCTCCTATTTTCTTTTTTTCTGGTGAATTCTGAGTTTTTTCCTTGCCACAGCTCCTTTGGAGGATTGCCACTCTGCAAATACCTTTTAGGAATGTACTGTTAACATCACCTGCAAAGCAGCTATGTTTTAGGAGCAAAACACTCTGTAATAACACTTGGGAATTACCCTTTTACATAAAGAGAACAGCAAAAAAAAGCCCAAAAACTAAATATATACAGTGGATATAAAAAGTGTTCACACCCCTGTTAAAATGTCAGGTTTCTGTGATGTTAAAAAAAATTAGACAAAGATAAATAATTTAAGAACTTTTTCCACCATTAATGTGACCTATAAACTGTACAACTCAATTGAAAAACATACTGAAATCTTTTAGTGGGGGAAGTAGACTTAACAAACAAAAATAATTTGGTTGCAAAAGTGTGCACACCCTCTTATAATTGGGGATGTAGCTGTGTTCAGAATTAAGCAATTACATTCAAAATCATATTAAATATGAGTCAGCACACACCTGCTATCATTTAAAGTGCCTCTGATTAACCCCAAATAAAGTTCAGCTGTTCTAGTAGGTCTTTCCTGACATTTACTTAGTCACATCCTACAGAAAAAGCTGAGAAAGCTTCCAAAGCATCAGAGGGATCCCATTGTTAAACGGTATCAATCAGGAGAAGGATACAAAAGAATTTCCAAGGCACTAGATATACAATGGAATACAGTGAAGACAGTCCTCATCAAGTGGAGAAAATATGGTGCAACAGTGACAATACCAAGAACTGGACATCTCTCCAAAACTGATGAAAAGATGAGAAGGAAACTGGTCTGGGAGGCTGCCAAGAGGCCTACAGCAACATTAAAGGAGTTGCAGGAATATCTGGCAAGTACTGGCTGCGTGGTACATATGACAACAATCTCCCGTATTCTTCATATGTCTGGGCTATGGGGTAGAGTGGCAAGACGGAAGCCTTTTCTTACGAAGAAAAACATCCAAGCCCGACTAAATTTTGCAAAAATACATCTGAAGTCTCCCAAAAGCATGAGTGAAGATGTGTCTGATGAAACCAAGGTTCAACCTTTTGGCCATAATTCTAAAAGATATGTTTGGCTCAAAAACAACACTGCACATCACCAAAAGAACACCATACCCACGGTGAAGCATGGTGGTGGCAGCATCATACTTTGGGGCTGTTTTTTTTCAACTGGAACTGGGGCCTTAGTCAAGGTAGAGGGATTTATGAACAGTTTCATATACCAGTCAATATTGGCACAAAATCTTCAGGCTTCTGCTAGAAAGCTGAAAATGAAGAGGAACTTCATCTTTCAGCATGACAACGACCCAAAGCCTACATCCAAATCAACAAAGGAATGGCTTCACCAGAAGAAGACTAAAGTTTTTGGAATGGCCCAGCCAAAATCTGTGGGGTGATCTGAAGAGGGCTGTGCACAGAAGATGCCCTTCCAATCTGACAGATTTGGAACGTTTTTGCAAAAAAGAGTAGGCAAATATTGCCAAGTCAAGATGTGCCATGCTGATAGACTCATACCCAAAAAGACTGAGTGCTGGAATAAAATCAAAAAGGTTCTTCAACAAAGTATTAGTTTAAGGGTGTGCACACTTATGTAACCATAATATTTTAGTTTTTTATTTTTACTTCCCTCCACCTAAAAGATTTCATTTTTTGTTCAACTTAGTTGTACAGTTTATAGGTTACATTAATGGTGGAAAAAGTTCTGTAATGATTTATCTTTGTCTCATTTTTTTTTTACATCACAGCAACCTGACATTGACATTATTCTTTTATGTATTTCTAAATCATAGTATACAATGTGCCCTAATTTTATGTAGACATTCTGTATGTCGACTGTTCTTATGTAGACTGTTTTTTCTCAGCCACAGATAAATTAGTAATGTTCTATCTATAATGTTTATGTTTTACAATATGTATGCTAATAATTTATCATTGTAGGTTTTTATTAATGAAAAGGATGACTGAAACATCTTCCAAGGAAGATATATTTGTTCAGCCTGTGGTTTCTGAGAAGCGATCTACCGTATCCACCTCTCCTGTGTCCCATGTACAGCTTGCATGTACCCACCAGTACTGTGCTTTCCCATTGAATAGAAATGAGCTCTGCGTCTGGGACACAGCTAACCCACATGCACAGGTAATGGTCAGCACTCTCCTCTCATTGTATCTGAATCCCTGTGACTAGACAATTAAAGGAGAAGCAGCACACTCATGAGTTCATCTCTCAGTCACTGTGCAGTGTTAACCCCTTAGTGACTAAGGGTAAAACAAGTCTAAAAGCTTAAACACAATTTAGCAACTTTGACATGCGTTAGTAAAGCATTACATATCATCACAACTACTTTGTTTATCCAGGTGTATTATACCTTTTTTTTTTTTCAGGACAAATTGGGCTTTCTTTTGGTAGTAAATGGTAACAGATATATTCTATTGTTTTTTTTATTATCAAGGAAAAACTGGCCCAAAATAGTAAAAAAAAATAATTTTTTTAAATTTAACTGTATATTTCTTTTTACTACCAAAACCTACCACAAAAGAACAACCCACAATAAATTTTCCTGCTCCTGAAGATTGCAGCGATTCCACATATGTGTATGTTATTTGTTGTTTGTACCTGTAGTAGGGCTCAGAAGCAATAGTGCTCATTTTGCTTTTTTACCCTACTTAACCACCTCCCTTCCGGCTGTTGTATATAAACGGCCGGACCGGAACGGTGGCACTGCAGGGTCGGGTGGCCGTCTATAAATGGCCTCCCCGCACCCTGCTTGTGCGCGCTCCCTGGGAGCGCGCAGCACCGCGATCCAGTGCCCGCTGTGTCCTCCGGACACAGTGAAACACCGATCGTCGGACGGGACCTCTGTACGAGGTCCCGATTATGTGATAACTGATTGACCAATCAGTGATCACATGCAAAGTAATAAGCAAGATGTCACTTCTGACATCATTGCTTACTACGTGTGAAATCTGTGAATGATCACAGAGGTCACATGGTACAAGGCCATTCACAAAAGCCTTGTACCATGTGACAAGCTGTGACCAATCACAGCTCACTCAGTACTTCTCAATGAGTGCAAGAATGCACACAGAGAGAAGGAGAAATGATTGCTTTTACATCCTATATGGGTGTAAAAGCAATCAGTGTAAAAAAAAAAACAAAAAAAATCTTCATCACTCCCCACAAGTAGTACAGTGTCACCATGGTGACACTGTACTGCTAGGGTGACAGTATGTAAAAAAAAAAAAAAATAAAAATAAAAAATAATAATATAAAAATGTAAAAAAAAAGTTTAAAAATTATAATTTTTGCTTATAAACTAATTTGGATTTTTTTTTTTTTTTTACTAAAAAGATAACGGAATAAATTTGGCTAAGATTTATGATGAAATATTATTTATTTGCAAAATTTTATAAAAAAAACACTTTTTTTCAAAATTTTTGGACATTTCATTTACAAAGCAAAAAAAAATACAAATCCCAGTGGTGAATAAATACCACCAAAATAAAGCTTTATCTGTCTCAAAAAAATGGTAAAAAATTCATTTGGGTACAGTGTTGCATGACCGCGCAATTGTCATTCAAAGTGTGATAGCGCTAAAAGCTGAAAATTGCCCTGGTCAGGAAGGGGGTAAAAGTGTCCGGTCTGGAAGTGGTTAAAACACACTGACACTGATGCTACTTTTAAAAACCTTTTAGAAAAAAAAAATCATGCCCAAAATTTACTGATCATGACCTGTGACCCTGACCTTGGCCTTTGACCTTTACTTGACACTAACCCTGGCACTGACTTAAATCTAACATTGATCTAGGTATTTTTTTCTTTATTTTTTCCTTTCTTTTTTTGTACACACGTTTGTTTATATTTCCCCTGCATGAGGGAAAGAAACATTGTTTCTCTCCCCCATTGAGGGAGAAAGCAAAACAGAGGGGCGGGCTGCACAGTGACTGATCACTGTGATAGCCAATCAGAGGCTATCACAGCGATCAAGTGACTCAGAAGCAGGAGTACAGGACCAGGACATTCCAATGACAGCCCAGTGTCTGTGCTGGGAGCGTGCTGTGCAGCGAGTTCCCAGCATAAACACAAGTATACATATATATGCAGCCCCACAGAAAAAAGTCCATATATGCGTACTGTCGGCGTCAAGGGGTTAATATGTCAGCATGGCTCCTGACTGCCTTCTCGTGCTGCTTCTATCTCCCCCTTTCTGAGCTCCACTGTACAGGCTGTACAGTAGACTACGAAAGGATATATTCAGATACACTGCTTGCTATTAAAAGTATATTTAATTATGTATAATTTATTGTAGAGCTACATTTATTTGTGCTATTGTTATCTGCCTTGATTTCAGCTTTAATATTTATATTGATTCTTCTTGATTTTAACTAAAATATACCTGATAATTCTATCAGCAAGGTATTCTCACTGACACTTAAAGCGATAGTAAACGCTAAAAAAAAAATGTAAAACAGTTTTCCCCTGCAAGGCAAAGCCATAAAGTGCGAGTATGCATTGCATACTTGCACATTATGAAGAACTTCCCTTAAAACAAAGCCCTCCAGAGGCATGCTGTCACCGCTGCAGAGTCTTCCATCTTCACCCCGTCTTGCTTCCAGGTTCGCGGGCTGTGGCCACTTGGCTGGCCGAGCCGTGATGATGTCAATCCCGCACATGTGCGTGGGAGTCTCGGCCACGGCCCACAGCTCTGAAGGAACGGGACAGGTATGCCGTTCTTTCAGAGCACATGCAATGGGTGATGTCACCGGCTGCTGCTCGCTAGAATATCTCCTAAACGGTGTATGTTTAGGAGATATTCATTTTTTTTATATTTTTTTTATTATAAGCTTACCTGTAGGTAAAAATAAAATATGAGAGTTTAATAATGCTTTAATTTACCAGGGATGCTTTCTCAATTCATCTACGGTACTGAAACCCTTTACTGCACGCTCCTAAGTTGGACAACAAATAGTCATACAAGTTCATAGTGGGCTAACACATTTCAGTGTATTCATTGCTGTAAAACTGACATGCAACCCTCTACAGAACATGGACTCATCCACAATAACTTCATGCAATGGTGTTGATTTACTAAAACTAAAGAGTGCAAAATCTGCTGCAGCTGTGCATAGAAACCAGTTTTTTTTTGTCAAAGCTTAACCTGTTCACGCCGACAGTTTGCAAATATGCATCCTCTCAACGACTGGGCCTTGATGTCAAGCGGCCGCATGTTTGCCTACCAAAAGTAAACAAACATGTGCTGAGAGTGCGCGCCCTACGCGCTCCCGGCACATTTACCGGCGCCTCATGGAAAGGTCCTGATCACTACTTGTGATCGGAACCTTTCCGGTCATGTGACTGCTGTGACAGCCGGTCACGTGACTCTAAATCATGTTCCGCCTCCCAGCATCACAAACCTCTTAAAAGGCCAGGAGGAACCAGTGCAAGGGGTTAATTGAACAAACTATATTTTAAGCTGATTGACTACCATGCACATCTGCACCAGATTTTGCACTCTTCAATTTTTAATAAATCAACCCCAATGAGTCTACAGCAGTGGTGGTCAATTTGAAGTAGGAGGTCTCAAGTGCAATCACGATAGCTTACTCTGATTATATTGCCATTCTCACTTGGGACTTTTTGGCAACAAGATCTAGGGACATATTATTTCTTTGTAACCAGAAGTCTTTCACAAGAAGAATAAACAAGAAAGGATTCTCTAGGTAGTGTAGAACTGTTGTCAGAGATCTATTTTTATAAAGAGCTGAGACTTCTGCCAACAAAGTTGCTAGGCTTTCTGAAGTGAGCCTTGTAGTTCTTGTTTGTTCTAAAATGGAATTAATAATTGTTTTTCTTAAAGCGTTACTAAACCCACAACAATAAAATCAGTCTGTATATGCAGTAAAGCATGCTTGTTATACTCAATGTGGAAGGGGGTTAATCCTCTGCATTGTGTAAAAATGCTGTTTGATCATGCCTTATTTGATTCTCCCCTTCTTCCTCTTATCTCATGATAAGACATATCGTGTGGAAACACTCTGCACATGATCACTTTGCTGTGTATACTAGAGAGGATTTTTTTTTTCTTGGGAGAGTGCATGTGATGAGGACAGGGCCAATCAGCACTGCCCAGACAGAGGTCAGGGGTTCTACATCCTCCTAGAGAAAACTCCTCCTACAAGCTTTAACCAGTGCTCGCTAGACACTGATAGAAGTCACAAAACTGCTGTATACTGCTGATGAGAAAAGTTATTTAGCAGTTTATATTTGCTAAAATAATTGCATTTCCATGTTTTGTGTACTGTGGGAGACCAGATATAGTGAATGCAGGGTCCTGGGTTTAGTGACACATTAAGCAGTTAGCATCTGAGGTGTCTGTGTATGAAAACGTAGCTGTACAAATGTGAAAAACATTCACATCCCCAGTGAAACTTACCGTATTTTGTGCAATACTGTACAATTATCTTCTATGATCATAAGAACCATCTAGTGGCTATAATGCATTTTTTCCTGATTTAGGTAATAAAAAATACCACGTTGTGGCCACTAGACGGTGCTTATGATCATAGTAGATCATTTTATTACACAAAATACAGCAAGTTTCTTTGGGGCTGTGCAAATGTTTGTCACATTCATACAGCAATTTTTTTGCTACATAGACCCAAAAATTTCCCTCTAAATTTTAGATGCTACCACAAGGGAGCAAATGCTGCACAGTGTCTATGAGGTCATCCTTGCTATCATGCACATTTGTCCCTGCTCCCAAGGAAAATGTTAACTGTGACAGAAGTTGCAGTGGGTCAAATTACTGCTTGGCCAGTCATTTATGTAATTTTGTAAAATAATTTAAATGATTACTTGATGACATTTTTTCAAAGATTAATGTACACAACCAAATACAAAAATGTGGTGCTGAAGCCAAGGCAATAAGCCATTAAAACAGTTCAGTCATGGTCCTTGGCATAGAGAGACTGACAACAGTGAGTGACAACAGTACATGATTTAACTTTAGCTCTGTATGTAAAACATCCTGCCCCATGTTCTTTTATTTTCAGAATGATAGCCAAAGTAACATGGTTGATACAATAAACATGAAGAATATATGAAAAAGACATCATAAGCAGGGCCAAATATGGCATTATTACTGGAATATTTCTCTACTGGAGATATAAGAAACAAGCATGCAGTTCCACTTTCCAGTAGGTGTTGCAATGACCCCCTCCAGAGCTTCTGGATTTTAACAAACTCTTCTACTTTCCTTCTGGTGACCTGCCATGACCCACCTGCAGTGACAGACTTCAGATCCTTCAATATTCCTTTTTGCAGTTTTATTGCTTTGGTTGGCTATGTTGAGAGGGTTAGGGGTAAAGGACACAGTAGAAGAAATCTCTCCACATAAGAACTCTCTATGGCCAAACAGGCTATTCTCTTCCAGTATCTTTTGCTATAGGTCAGCTGTGGAACTTATTATGCCTCTATCACAGGCTATTAATGGTTCTGTAGGGCCAGGCAGACAGCTATATTTCATTTTTTTGGCCCCCATCCCAAGCGGAGGCCCATATAGAGTACTCTAGGCCCAAACAGTCAGCTAGTAAAAATAACACAATTTTGTGGTTCTGGTTTCCTACTCCAGGCAAGGGGCCTGGAAGGCAAAGTCTGGACCCTGGACATTGCTACACTCAGGAACCAGAACCTGGGAGGCAAGGACTCTTCTGTAAGATCTCTCCAAATATTTATCCTCTTTCTCAGCCCGCATCCTTGACATAAACCTTCCAGTGATTGTCCAATAAACTGTATCATCTCACTCTACCAACTGAAGAACACTCAACAGTAGCAGGCAAAAGAAATATCCTTGGGCTTAGGAGAAACCAAACAAACCATAACAAAATACAGCTCAGACTGGCCATAGTTTTAACATAAAACACAAAATTAGGTTAGGGGGCGCTACAGCTTCAGGCAGAATCCCTACCCTGGCATGGAAAACCAAAATACTAGTCTTGAGTGGAGTAGGCCTTCCTTAACAATTTTTGCATATTTTCTTGAAGGAAAAAGAAAAATATATTTAAATAAACTATATTTTAATAAGATACTCTATATATTTTTACATCAAATTTTGTATTTTTTTTTAAATTTGGCAGCCCATGATTCTAAAAGGTCATCACCAGCCCATAACTGCAGTGGCAATAAAACAGGATGGGGATCAATGGCTGGCTTGCTCTGCCTCACAAGACTATGTCATTACATGGAATCTGAATGACTGCAAACGAGATTTTCTTCAAGGTAAGGGACATCTTCAGTAAAGGTAAACCATACAGCTGGGTCAAGAAAAGTCTGAGAAAACTAATGGGTAATTGAAGTCATATCATTCAATTTTAGGAACTATCTATTGTCTGGAATGTAAGTTTGTTTTCTGCTTTGGTATTTTTAATTTAAAAAAAGTTAAACAAAAACATGAACATTTTAGAGGTGGGGGCCAGGTCATTGCCTACGATGGAGATGCACACCTCAAGTGTATATCTCCAGCATCACCTCTTGTCTGCATTAGTAAAGTGGGAATAAATGAAACTCCTCACCTTCTGTTATCAAGGGAGTGAATACAGGTGAAACTCGAAAAATTAGAATATCGTCCAAAAGTTCATTTATTTCAGTAATGCAACTTAAAAGGTGAAACTAATATATGAGATAGACTCATTCCATGCAAAGCAAGATAGTTCAAGCCATGATTTCTCATAATTGTGATGATTATGGCTTACAGCTCATGAAAACCCCAAATCCACAATGACAAATCACGGCTTGAACTATCTTGCTTTGCATGTAATGAGTCTATCTCATAGATTAGTTTCACCTTTTAAGTTGCATTGCTGAAATAAATGAACTTTTGGACGATATTCTAATTTTTCGAGTTTCACCTGTACATATGGAAACAATAGACTTTTGGGTTGATTTATTAAAACTGGAGAGTGAAAAATCTTCTGCAGAGAAACCAATCAGCTTCCAGCAGAGGCGTAATTAGAACCTTAGGGGCCCCAGTGCAAGAAACCATGAAGGGCCCCCCTGCCCCTGTCCTGGTGCCCTTTCTCATGTTCTGCAGTGGGCCCCCTTCCTGCCGCCTTGAGGTTCTCCCATGGTCGCGTAACACCAGGGCCCAGTCGCAAATGCAACTTTTGCAACCTTAGGAGTTCCGCCACTGACCTTACTATTATTATTGGACACTCTGAAGGATGTTATGGGCACTCTGGAGGATATGGGGGATCAGTGTACTGCTGAGCTCAGTCTGCAATTGTGCAGCGGGGTGCGTGACTATACTCCACACCATTCTACTCAATCCGAGGCCGAACCTGGCAGTTTTCTGATCGGCTGCTTCCAGAACTGCGCATGCACAGTTCAAAGCCCCTGACAAGGACTTTTTTTTACAGGTTTTATGTTTTTTACACCCTTTGTGTACAGGAGAAAAGTGCCTGTTAACACTGCCCCAGACACGCCACCATCTTGTTTCCCAGCCCAACAGTGGCCGAACGCCAGGGCCTGGTCGTAAGTGCGAACTGTGCTACCTTGGTAGTTCCGAGCGTAGTGCCATATAGCAAAAAAAATGCCTGGTCATGAAGGGGGCAAAATCTTCCAGAGCTTTAATGGTTAGGAGGAGTTTTGTTATTTATTTATTTTATTTATTTCAGATACTTCTATAGCGCCACCAATTTACGCAGTGCTTCACATATATATTGTACATTCACATCAGTCCCTATCCCTCAAGGGGCGTACAATCTAAGGTCCCTAATTCACATTCATACATACACATACTAGGGACAATTTAGACAGGAGCCAAATAACCTTTTAGCATGTCTTTGGAGTGTGGGAGGAAACCGGAGTACCTGGAAGAAACCCACGCAGGCACAGGGAGAACATGCAAACTCCAGGCAGGTGGTGCCGTGGCTAGGATTCGAACCAACGACCCTAGTACTTCCAGGTGGAAGTGCTAGCCACTTAGCCACTGTGCTGCCCCAGTTTATAGTTTTATATAGTATAACGTAGCCCTCGTTTACACTTGCTTCAAAATGTGGCATTTGACCTGTGTTTTTGAAGCACACTGAGCCTAGGTTCACACGCACCACATTTCTGTGCAATTCACATGCTATTCTATGAATGCGAATGAGCCCATTCATTTTGTTCAGTTTTGCTTTGCTTTAGAAACTATACTCCATGTCACTTTCAGGTGACCTGCATCTCCAAAGCCTGCCACAGCGCTCCCTAACCACGCCTGTAGTGGTAGAGGGGAGCGTCAGAGCTAGTTTCGCTTTGTATTGCATGTATTGGAAAAACAGAAAACCAACATACACAGGGAATGGTTAAAGCTTCATTAATGCTGTGGAAAAGCATCAAAAATACATGTTAAAGTGGTAGGTGATTTAATATGTGTTACTAATCAATGCAAGTGTAATGAAGCTCTGTCATTATTTTAAAAAATTGACTCACAACTACACACTGGAGCTAATTTATGAAAAACAAATAGACTGTGCACTTTCCAAGCGCAGTTGCACTCATGTTTTCCAGAGCTTAGTAAATGTGATGAAGCTCTGCTAATTTCCATAATCCAGTCATGTACAAGCAAAAATGCAGTTTTTTTTTTCTTTATTTTCCTTTTTTCTTTACAAAATGAAGCTTAATCACATTCACTAAGCACTGGTGCAAATTAGTGCAACTGCACCTGCAAAGTGCATAGTTGATTTGCTTTTAGTAAATCCACCTGTGTCTGAGTGTTGTAATACTTAACATTTTCGCTAGATGGCAGTCTTAAACTTCTGAGAAGGAGACATTTTTGTTTGACTTCATTTTTCAGAAAGTTTTAAATGCTTTGGGTCTGATTTACTAATATGCATGTACAGTACTATTTTGCTTGAATGCTGTCGGAATAAGCAATTACTCCTTTGCTCACCAGCTTTATTATTCATTTGCAAGGTTGCAAATGTGCAAGTACACAGTCTACAGTTAATATATGCGGAAATTTAGTAAAGTGAGTGTTTACGTGCAGGACCATGATCCAGTCCATGATGAATCCATGCTTTTATTTATTTTAATAATAAAACAGGTTCACTGTTTTTGTTTGTTTGTTTATGTAATATATTTGAGATATTTTAGATTTATAATAACAGGATTTTTTTTATGCAGTAATAATCTTCAAAGTGAAAGTAATCATTTCTAGAAAATCTAGAAAAAAATCCCTTCCTTGTAAATGGCATAAACTGACCTGAGGAAACTGATGTAAACATTACCATTACGTATTTATTAATTTATATAGCACCATCAATTTGCACAGCGCTTTACGTATTATGCATTATTATTATTATTATTATTATAATACAGGATGTATATAGCGCCAACAGTTTGCTCAGCAGCGCTTTACAATATAACGGGAGACAATACAGCAACAATACAGTTCAGTACAAGAGGGATAGGAGGGCCCTGCTCCTTGGAGTTTACAATCTAGGAGATTTCATTATTATCAGTCCTTTTCCTTAAAGTGGAACTGGAGTGAAACTCATCCATCCATCCATGTCTTCATGCTTTATTTTGCTGAGAAATCATTTTAAAAACACCTCCTGGTATTTCTGACAGTGGCCATCTTAAGTAATGGCAGATGATTCATTTAGCAGTTACTTCCTGGAATCCATCTATCCTTAGCTCAGGTATTGATTGAGCTGAGAACCCTCCCTCCCTCCCTCTCCTGAAGACTCCTGGGATATATGACATCATTTGCCTAGGCATGGAAACCAGGACGTAAACAATGGAATGCAAAAAAAAAAAGGTTAAAACAAGTAAATATGATATACTTTCCTATTTTTTTTACTAATGCTAGCAGCATAAGGATTAGAAATGGCGAGTTCCACTTTAAGGAGCTTAAATACTAAGTGTTAGGAATATCAATTTAGGCCAAGTTCCTGCATACAAACATGCAGTTCAAAGTACTTTGGGAATAATGCAATTCAAACACCTAGATGTGTTATGCAAAATTCGACTTCTTTATTATTGATCAAGCCTTAAGTAATAAATTAGGGGTTAAAATTTCGAGTCCAGACCTACTAGCCGGTCACAAAACTTACTCTCCACCAGTTGCCCCACCCAACCTTGCCCAGGTCCGCCACCAACCCCACCGCCACCGTGCTCGAAACCCCACCCCCAGCCTGCCCCCAACCACGCCCCCTTAAAGCTTATGAAATTACATTTTTCTTTAGAATAAAGAGTCCAAAATATAAAACTGTACACAGTAATGTATATCCCAGCTCCCCTGTACTCCATTATAGTGATATGACATGTATACAGTATGTATATCCCAGCTCCCCTGTACTCCATTATAGTGATATGACATGTATACAGTAATGTATATCCCAGCTCCCCTGTACCCCATTATAGTGATATGACATGTATACAGTAATGTATATCCCAGCTCCCCTGTACTCCCTTATAGTGATATGACATGTATACAGTAATCATTTCCCACAATGATGTAAGAGTAAGCTTGGGTGGCTCCCTTGTCATCTCCTGCATCTTTTCTGGACTCAAATGATGCCTACCAAATTCTTCTGAATTATCTTGCGCCTGCCGGCTCACCTCTCCATTACCTGTTGAATCTTCTGACTCCTCGCTTGCTGTGTCCCTCTCCTGTACTGTCTGCTCTTTTACCATTGATGTCTGTCTACCTGATTTAATTGCCTTGCTTACTACCTTTCCTTTTTTACTTTTTGGGGCTGGGCTTCAGAGCAGCCATAGTTTGATGCATCTGGTCTAATGTCTTTCCCAATATAACTTTAGTTTCTTTCCACTCTTTATTCATTTCACACATTAATAAACTTGAACCTGACTCTTCTTCCAAGGAACCCTCCTCATCACCACCAATCAATGCCAAACGGCCTCTTTCATCAGTGGTAGAGAGAGCGGGGGCTCTTGGGCTGGAGCAGAGTGTAATGAATGTCTCCTCCATTACGTGACAACAAATAATACTCATCCACATCCTTAGGAAGCTGAGGATACAGTTGAGTATAATTAGGAAGTATAGTGGCAGGAGTTAAAGAAGTGTCACAAAAAGGATTATTAGTCTGTTTAGCTACCGGGGCAGAAGGGATTGGTGTTGGGTGCTTATATCCTGGGGCATACTTAACCAATTCAATTATTCCCCTCTCATTATTTCATATCCCACTCAGGACCAGGACCAAAATAGGGAAAGGCAATTTTGTCCCCTAAACATAGCCCCTTTATCATATCCCTATGAAAATCATCATTGTCCCCATCTCTGGGAAAAGGACTGGGACTACCCATGGTCAAACTCTACCCTGCCAGGCTGTCCACCCACAGGACAACATAATAATAATCCCAAGGTGACACTTGGACAACATATTCTTTACATATCTCATTAGCTGGTGGTTGGGGTTTTGTAGAGCTGATCCATTTTGCTTAGTTAATTTTTTTTGACAACTTTCATTTTCTTAATACTTTATGCGGTGGCTTAGGAGCATCTGGGTACTTCCTCTTACCTTGAGAGTTACCCATCGTCACTGCAAAGCAAAGAAGCAATGTTATGCTAGCTGGCCTATGTGTTTCTTTCCGGAGATGACTCTTTGTGCAGGGTGAAGCTGTACTGAATTCACGTAGAGCTCCGACAAAAATTCTTCTCAACTGCACGGCTTCAAGGCTTAAAATCACCTGGACAGATACACCCCTATTCTGACTCCTTCAGACTGCCACCATGCTTTCACCTATCCCAGTTCAACAGAGAAATCTCCTCGCTGAGTAGATGGTGCGTCTTGCAGTCCTACAGAGACTTATAATACATCTACTTCATAGTTTCTGTAGTTGCAAGCATACATAAGCACTTAACACACTGTTCTGTATGATTGTAGGGAGGACATATACCAATTTCTTATAAATCAACCTGGGTTTGTTTAACCCCGCAAGCTCCCAAAGCTCCAGCAGACAATTGTTTGTGCATGCAGCACAAGGCATTTTTGTGCTAATGCAGCACAGAGGCTTGTTCGAGATAGAGGGCAATCAGGGCAAAATAAGACAAAAAATGCTCACTGATCTCCAATGGCCTATCCTATCCCACACTTCTGACACCAGTTCTGTTAGGAATATCAATTTAGGCCAAGTTCCTGCATACAAACATGCAGTTCAAAGTGCTCTGGGAATAATGAAATTCACACACCTAGCTGTGTGATGCAAAATTCAACTTCTTTATTACTGATCAAGCCTTAAGTAATCTCCTAGATTGTAAGCTCGTAAGAGTAGGGCCCTCTTACCCCTCGTACGCTGTCTGTCTTTGTTGTACTGTGCCATGTATTGTCCCCCCCTATTGTACAGCGCTGAGCAAACCCTTTGGCGCTATATAAACTCGTAGTAATAATAATAATAATAATAATAAATGATAACACTGCATATTTCAGTCTGTTTCCATTAAGCACTAATCAGAATACAGAATAGAGATTTCAGTAAACTACTCTATGGTGCATCATAACAAAAATGCAACAGGGTAGTAACTTCTGCAATTTCTCAAGAAATGTGTGCATGGATAAGAGCATTCAAATCCCACGGGAACATCTTGTATGTAAAATAAACCGGTTAGTAGGCACATAGCAAAAGTTAGTTAAGTATTAACCCTTTCACTAAGGTCCTTATCTCACATACAATAGGGCCAATTTAAACAGTAGTAAATTAACTCACCAGTATATCTTTGAGGTGTGGGAGGTAAACCAATGCAAACACAGGGGGAACATGCATACTCCATGCAGATAATGTCCTGAATGAGGGGACCCTAGTACTGCCACTTTTAAGAATGCAAGAGCCATAAGCTGGCCATGAGTGGCTCAAAGTTTGAGCTGTGGATGCTCCTGTTAGTTCCACTCAGTTCGATAAACGTTGACTGAAAAATCAAATCCATCATCCATATCCTTAATTAGTAAAGACTTTGTACATGTTATGCAAATCCCAATGCTTCTTTTCTCTATATCATGGGTCTCTAGACTATGGTCCTCCAGGTGTTGAGGAACTGCAAGTCCCATGAGGCCTTGCAAGACTCTGACAGCCACAGGCAAGACTTGCAGAGGCAGGATGGGACTTCTAGTACTTCAACAGCTTGAGGGCCATAGTTTGGAGACCCCTTGCTCTATACAATTGAAAAATCAAAGGAGCCTGGTGGAAAATTGTCGGCCAAACATTGACTACATCCAATCAGGTGCAGTCACTGTTTGGCCATTCAGACAGCCGCAGGTGCTGTGGTTGTCTCAATACAATGGCCCAGCATGGTTGATTTCTCTATCAACCCTGTCTAACTTGGATAGGGGACTCAAGTGGTTTCTTTCGTTCAGCCTATGGTCTGAACAAAAGAAATCCTATTGTGTATAGCTAAAACTTAGAAGAGTCTCACCAATTAAACTGAAACTGTTGTCAATGGGAATGCCTGTGATATGACTTCAAGCTATGTACAGACTTCTGGGGAATGCAGAAAGTCAACCGCACATGCAGAAAATAGGATTTATACAAAATGAAACCTAGACCCCAAAATGCTAATCCATGAATCCACTCTAAAATATTGTGCACAACCCCTGGTCGCCAAGAAGTCCCTTCCTCCCCAGGAAGTCCGAAATAAAGTGAATATGTCTCAGTGTCCAATCAAGTCCGCAATAAGTAACCCCTCGTAACTTTTTATTTCTTCAAAGCTTGTATGTTCTCAATTAGTAAATCTTTTAAACAATGATCTCCTCTTCCTCTTTAACCCTCAGAGAAAATATATAGACCGCACATAGTGCATTACCTTTGTCTCACAGTGAAAATATAACTATAAAACACTGATATTAAAGTGCTTATAACCAACAAAAACTCCACCAAGTGTTACTCCACGTGTGGTATCCGTAATTCCTACTCTTACCCTCTAGGCATAGATTGCTCGCTCAAAATGAATTCCCAAAACATGAATGTTCCTTCCGAAATTCTTCCCTATAGACAACCATTCCCTCCAAGAGATTGAGTTGCAAATAGTGAAATGTTATACGTAACTTCGAAAACCTGCCACACAGTGCTCCCTTATTGCCAGACTGCTGACCACCAGTCTCATGAGATCATAGATACTCCACCACCATATAGTCCATGCACCTTACCCTACTTCAAGGGAAACAGGCTGTAAGCAATTGGACTCCTCTTCAACCAATATCACTCTAACCTCACAATATATAAATCAATGCGAACAGGCAGCCATCGTGTAAAATATCAAGGCAATGAGAATTTATTAAGTGAAAAAGCACTTACAATTGTAGGATATACATCAGCGTTGTTACAAAATCAAAGGCCGGACCTCTTCCAAAATGCCCACCGCACAACTTCTGCCTTTGCGTCTGACGTCACTTTCTGACACGTTTCATCATTACGACTTTGTCAAAATCCTTTATTTTACAGGATGGCTGCCTGTTCTCTTTGATTTATATATTGTGACGGGAGAGATAAGAGTGATATTGGTTGAAGTTACTCAGTCTGTCTTTATATCAGATTCTTCATACTGGGAACAAAAGAAAGGCAGTGCTGTCTTTACAATTAGTCTTGCCAACATTACGTTGTACATAGGATGAGATATAGGAGACAAGTTATATATACATACTGCAAATTACTGCTGCCAAGAACCTAAAATGCATTTTTAATAAATCTTTAGGATTGCTACCTCGTGGACTTGTCATCGGAACCCTCATTGGTGATGTTCAGCATATAGCTTTCCACTGTAATGAAAAGTTGGTTGTGACATGTGCGGGAACTAGAGTATTTATACTTAATGTTCAGGTAAGTCATCACTATATTGATACAGCTGATAGAAGGAATATTATAGCCTTAAAAGTGTATTTGACTTAATATAGTCAAATTAAAACAGCATAGCTCAGCAATCTGTTCTGAGGGAGGCATAAGTATTAACCCCTTCTTTTGCAGAACGTTCATGAAAAGTCATAGTATACTGTATAGGATAAAGGTATCAAAAGGCAAAGGCACCAGAAATGCAGCAAAGTTAAAATTGTGTCCCGCTGGTAAAAAAAAAAACAAAACACTTTTTCATTTTTTTTAAAACCTTTTTAACCAACAAGAGAGTCACTTTAAAGGAAACTTGACCCATTACCTTTAGCAAATCTTACTTGCTTGACTATTCACTCTAATCTGCATGATTGGTCAGTGACTGAGAAAGTACTAAAGCCAGATATAGCCAGATAAGTATTCTTAGGTGGAGGTCAGTAGTGGCAGCCTCTATATTTCTCTTACTATACATTTTCCTTAAGTTTGTGAAAGATTTTGATAAATTTTGGTGTATGAAAGTATGCTTGATAAAGGTGTAGAATGTATTTGCTGAAAATTAGTTATAGTATAGATTACAAAATACAGTAATAAACTTATTAATGTGCCTGTGGCAAAGGTTTATTTTCAGTTTGCCATTCTCAGACTGGGGTACCTAGGGCCTACCAGAAGAAGTGAAGGCATACGTTTAAGTTAAATTGTGCATTGTGGCAAGCTGCAACTTACTGTGAGGAGTAGCTACATATTCCAAGACTAAGAGTAGCTGACCCTACCTGCAATTCACTTTTAATATTTACATGATATAGAGACTGCTCACATACATGCATGTTAAAGCAGTATTAAACCCAAAAACAACTATTTTATAATATTGCAGGCTAACAAGATGTGATAGCTGCAAAAAGCGTTTTTTTGTAGGCTTTTGTTCCTTTATTTTCACCTGGTGATCCTACCTGGAAGTCTATTGTTTTTCAACAGAACAAACTGTTCTGCAGATGTAGAAGTTAGACTGTTGAGATAAACCATTTAACACTGACATTGATTTTTACAATAATCAGCTTTTATTTATTTGTGTAAATCCTTTATCTCAAAAGGAAAATAAATGTTGTAACTGCTTATAAAGTGTTAGCTGGAGTTTGGCTGCAATTTGTTAGTTTATCTAAATCTGCTAGTACAGCTAACACTCCCCTCCCCCCAGATTAACAATGCTGCTATCCAAAGGTGCCCCCTGTGCTCCTTCATCCAGAATGGGGACACTCTAATACAGGAGGTGTGTTACTGGCCGAGTCACCAGGTGGAAACAGAGGGGAAAAAAGTAGAGAAAAAGAAAACAAGTGCAGCCACCACATCTAATGTTTGGTAAGCTGTAGGATATTACATTTTTGGTTTTGGGTTTAATACTACCTTAATTCATACCTTTGTTCTCCTTTTGACATAGAAGCTATTTTGTGGACAGTTCCAACAACACTAGCTTACTATAATTATCTTATTCCAAAAGCATGCTTTTGTAGCTCAAAAGTAAAACCATAGCTATACATTAGTAGCCATACGTATCAGCAAAAAAAAAATCACTGAATAATATATAGCCACATTTTTAATGGCTCCAATCATTGTTTCCGCTTACAGGCTGCCCTTATTTTCACCCTTGGGCGAATATAGATTTTTGTTAAAGATTTTTTTAATGTAAGCCTTCTGTTTATCTCCATTTTTTTTAGCACCCACTGATCTGCTGACCTGTAAGAGGCTGCTTCCATAATTAAAACCTTTTCTTGGATATCTGCCTCCTTCTTTGTACATTTAATTTAGTAATACTTATTTGTTTTTGAATATACACCTAACAAACACTTTGAGTGCATCCTACAATATTTCTTATGAGGCAGAGAATTAATTAATTTAGCTAGATGAGAAGAGTTGGGATTAGTTGTGGGTATTTGAATAAATTAAAGGGTTAATTGTCTATATCCTGTATGTCGACCATCATTGAACACTTAAATATGCAACTGTGGGTAAATGTTCAGTTCAGTTTCATGCCTCTATATTGAGTGATTTCTCTAGTTCCCAATGCAAGGCAAATTCTCAACAATAATTTATGCTTTTTGGAATATCACATACAGTGGATATACAAAGTTTACACAACCATTTTAAAATGTCAGGTTTCTGTGATGTAAACAAATAAGACAAAGATAAATAATTTCAGAACTTTTTCCACTTTTTTAATGTAACCTACAGTATAAACTGTACAACTCAGGTGAACAACAAAATGAAATCTTTTAAGTGGAGGGAAGTAAAAATAAAAAACTAAAGAAATATTGTTTCATAAGTGTGCACACAAAATGCCTTAAACTAATACTTTTATTGAAGCACCTTCAATTTTATTTTATTTTATTCCAGCACTCAGTCTTTTTGGGTATGAGTCTATCAGCATGGCACATCTTGATATGGCAATATTTGCCCAGTCCTATGCACAGCCCTCTTCAGATCACCCCACATATTTTTGATCTGATTCAGGTCTGGGCTCTGGCTGGGCCATTCCAAAACTTTAATCTTCCTCTGGTGAAGCCATTCCTTTGTTGATTTGGATGTATGCTTTGGGTCGTTGTCATGCTGAAAGATGAAGTTCCTCTTCATGTTCAGCTTTCTAGCAGAAGCCTGAAGGTTTTGTGCCAATATTGACTGGTATTTGGAACTGTTCATAATTCCTGTTACCTTGACTAAGGCCCCAGTTCCAGCTGAAGAAAAACAGCCCCAAAGCATGATGCTGCCTCCACCATGCTTCACTGTGGGTATGGTGTTCTTTTGGTGATGTGCAGTGTTGTTTATGCGCCAAACATATCTTTTCGAATTATGTCCAAACAGTTCAACCTTGGTTTCATCAGACCATAACTCACTTTCCCACATGCTTTTGGAGACTTCATATGTGTTTTTGCAAACATTTGCAAAATGGATGTTTTTCTTCGTAAGAAAATGTTTGTCTTGCCCTTCTACCCCATAGCCCAGACATATGAAGAATACAGGAGATTGTTGTCACATGTACCACACAGCCAGTACTTGCCAGATATTCCTGCACCTCCTTTAATGTTGCTGTAAGCCTCTTGGCAGCCTCCCAGACCAGTTTCCTTCTCGTCTTTTCATCAGTTTTGGAGGGATGTCCAGTTCTTGGTAATGTCACTGTTTTCTCCACTTGATGATGACTGTGTTCCATGGTATATCTAATGCCTTGGAAATGTTTTTGTACCCTTCCCCTGACTGATACCTTTTAACAATGAGATCTCTCTGATGCTTTGGAAGCTCTCTACGGACCATGGCTTTTGCTGTAGGATGCGACTAAGAAAATGTCAGGAAAGACTTAATAGAACAGCTGAACATTATTTGGGGTTAATCAGAGGCAAAACAAATTCAGCAAAATGTGGGACCTGTAGATCCAATATACATCATAGGAATCAAAATGCCTGGAAAGAGTGAACCCTTTCTCATCCACCTTTTCTTCTCTCTTCTTGACTACTACTTCAGTTCATTCTCACCTTCTTTTATCCCTTCCTCATTTCTTCTCCTTTTTCTCTTAGGCAGACCCATATGCTGAGTAAAGCTTATTTATCCACAAGTTAGGGCCTTCTTTGGTAACCCCATTACAATGCTATAACAACCAGCTGTCTGCATGGACATTGAATCATACAGATAGGATTCATTAGGGTTGACATGCAATATTTAAATAAGGTGTTAATAGACTTGTAGAAGGTGTAAATGTGAATTTATAAAAGATACAACACAGTTGCAATATTTCTATACTGATACTGCCATGGTTGACTGATCTGCTTGTTTGTTATATATTTATTATCTGTAAAACCTAATAAAAACAGATTGAAAAGAAAATATAGAAAATAAGTGGACAAAACTATGTATTCTGAAATCCAGTGTATTAAATTTGTTGTAAGCTGTCATGGGCATATTGTCATTCAATAGGTTTCTTTTTGGTCTGATGTTTTAAACAAAAGTATTTCTAAAATGCTTTTTGTTTGCCTTTTTGTCTGGTAACAGAGAAAAGAAATACTTGCAGAGTTGGCAGTACACCAAGGACTGGTGACTGGAGCTGAATTTTGGGCTGATAATTTCCTTGTGTGCATTTCTGAAGACAGAACTTTCTCGGTAATACTCTAGTACAATGTGTAACTGCTGTCTATTACTTCCTTTGGAAAATATTGAATGAAATCTAAAAACAAGTACCGTATATACTCGAGTATAAGCCGAGTTTTTCAGCACATTTTTTGTGCTGAAAAACGGCCCCCTCGGCTTATACTCGAGTCAACGTCTGCAGGGGGGGGCGCGAGGCTCCGTCAAGGGGGGCGTGTACAGGGGTGGGCAGAGGGCTGCTGTCTCTTACCTGGCTCCCACGATGATCCATCTAGGAAGCGCTGCTCCTTCCGTCACTCCGGCCACTCCCTCACTCCTGCCGCTCGACTCCGCCTCCTCACCGGTGATTGGCCGCCAGAACTGTAGCTCAGGAAAGGTACACAGGCGGCCAATCACGGGCTAGGAGGCGGAGCCGAGCAGACCCGCGAAAATCGAGTGAGGGAAAAGCCGGTAAGTGTGCAGTGCAGAGGTGCTGCTGCAACCACATATGCTGGCTGCAGCAGCACCATACTGCAACAGGGGTCAGCAAGTGTCATTGGTGTCAGTGGGAGGAATAGTGCCGCATCATTGGTGTCACTGATACTAATGATGGGGCATTATTCCTCCCACTGACACCAACGATGGGGCACTATTCCTCCCACTGACACCAATGATGGGGCACTATTCCTCCCACTGATACTAATGATGGGGCATTATTCCTCCCACTGACACCAACGATGGGGCACTATTCCTCCCAGTGATACCAATGATGGGGCACTATTCCTCCCACTGACACCAATGATGGGGCACTATTCCTCCCACTGACACCAATGATGGGGCACTATTCCTCCCACTGATACCAATGATGGGGCACTATTCCTCCCACTGACACCAATGATGGGGCACTATTCCTCCCACTGATACCAATGATGGGGCACTATTCCTCCCACTGACACCAATGATGGGGCACTATTCCTCCCACTGATACTAATGATGGGGCTTATACTCGAGTCAATAGTTTTTTCCCAGTTTTTTGTGGTAAAATTAGGTACCTCGGCTTATATTCGGGTCGGCTTATACTCGAGTATATACGGTACTGTCAGAATCAGCAGAAAAAAACAGATACTGAGTAAAATAAGGAATTACAATTATCCAAGTCTGGCATTAGTATCTAATGAAAATTAAAGTGGTTGTTATTCTATTCATTAAAGTAAGAAGCCTTTTGTGTGATGCTCCCCCCACAGCCCCACCAATACTTACCTGAGTCCAATCTTGATCCAGCGCTGTGCACGGGAGCAGCTTTTCTCCTGGGTCTCTCTCTACTCATTGGTTAAGACACAGCAGCGGGAGCCCTTGGCTCCCACTGCTGTCAAGCACAGCCAGTGAGCAGAATGAGACACGGGGCTGAGCTGGGAGCGAGCACACAAGAGTGCCCCCATAGCAAGCTGCTTCCTATGGGGGCACTCAACAGGCGGAGGGGCCAAGAGCTCCAAAACCATTGCAAAGTGCCGGTAAGTATGGATTGTTGGTTATTAAAAAAAAATTAGCCTTTAATATCACTTTAATGAAGCTGTGGGAAACATAATTTTTTATTTGGGTGAAAAGGTAAAGTTTAATTTTAAATGGAACCTGTACTTTTTTTTCAAATTATTATTATTATTATACAGGATTTATATAGCGCCAAACGTTTGCTCAGCGCTTTATAGATTTTTATTAGATTTTTAAAACATTACTTTAGAAAAGGTCTGACAATAGACCAGAGGGTAGCAGTTAACATTAACATTAGTCTGGTCCATATATCATATGAAGATGTTTCTTGCAAATGCAGATAAAAATAAATCAGATAGTACAAACAACAGCATCAATTACAACGTCAATTACAGTGTCAAACACCATGAGCGATTCCAGAGAAAAGAAAAAAGAAATGAAAACTCTCTCATGTAGATTAAGGATCATGTAGTAAATTTATCAGACCAATTTAACCAGGGCTTAGACCAATTCACCAGGGCTTCTGTACTCCATTTTTAACTTTAAAAAAGTCCTGCCTAAGAGTAGACACCACAAGATGCCTGCTATTACATTTATTAGCTTTAAACCTTCTTCTCTGCCCTCTCTGCTTTAGTTTTTTTTTCTACTAGGGCTTCAACATCTCCTTCTCTAAGCCTTATCAACTCTTATTTCATTGTCCAATGAAACTTTTTTTTTTAGTGGTTAGTAGGAACTCTGTAAAAAAATGATAATCGATTAGGTAAAATGCTCATAGTCTTCTACTGTCTGATGTGCCACACACCCTTTAAATATTCAGCATACACATACATGTTACTCTCTCCAGAATAGGGTAAAGGGTATATTATCTGACTTTGACACTGTTAGTCTATTTACTGGATTGCAATAAATGCTTACTTTCACCTGTTGCCTGCAAATTCTTTTTACATTTTGTTAATTATAGGTATGGGACTACCAAGCAGGACATTTGGTATACCAGTCTGGAATAATATCAGGTATGTATGATACTCAGATGAAACACATTGCTTCATTTTATATGTTTGTTTGCTGTGTGAACAAATGAACTATATGTGGTCATTAACTCTGAACAGAAATCTGGATACTAAAAAAAACCAGCAATGCCCATTTTAAATTGTTTAAGTAAACAGAAGTGTACAACTAGTTTTTGTTGATAATATACTTTATTTGTCACGTGATACAGTGGGTCATCTTCCTCCGCAGTCTTTTCCTGACAGTAGGCATTCGTGGTTGATGTGGAGAACGCCGCTTTCCATCAGTACACTGGAAGTGCAGGGCACCATGTTTTGGGGGAGGGGCCATGGCACCCTGCACTTACAGTCTTTTCAGTCTTCTGGGTTCAGTGTCCCTGGGTGAAAGTGAACCTGATAGACTAAGGACATCTTGTGGCGAAAAAGAGAGGTATTGCTAAGGACAGCTCCTGTTTAAAGGTATGTAGTGCAGACAGAGCTGTTCTTTTTTTTTTTTTTTTTTTTTTTTTCGTTTCAAATCTCCAGGAGGACATGTAATAAAACCCCACAGATTGCCTTTAAAATCACCCCAGATACCACTGTTCCTTTCTCTTAAAAAAGAGATATATGTATATATGCAAATTTTTGTTATGGAAGACAATTTTACTGTGTGTAGGTGCCACATACACAGATTTTTTCCAGAGTTGTTGTGCCACACTTCCATATTTACCTATGCTTACCATACAGGCATTGTCACGAATCCCCCACACGCCGCGCCCACAGTGACTAGCTAACCGAGGCACGCACATGCGGCCGTGACAGGGGGGTACGAGGTGATAAAGTGGACTTAACTTTGAATATATAAAACCGTATATAAGACCAGCCGTAAAAATACTTCCACAGCCCGCACTACCTTTGGCCACCACCAGATGGAGACTCCACTCCAATCTAGCTGGTCGACTACACACTGGCAGATACAAATCTTACATACAATCTGGTGCACTGACTAGAGTTGGGGACCAGCTTAGTAATTACACACCCTTCTAGAGTCCCTCCAGCTACCCTACAGCTTGAACCCCGCTGTTAATCACCCTTCCACTGTACACAACCCCCCCCCCCCCCCCCGCACCAGACACACCACAAAATGTAGCCTGCCACCACCCAACAGTTTATTCGCAGAACGGTCTGCTGGGACACCCCACACACACAGATCTCCGTCTGGCCGATCTGTTACCTTTTATAATCTGCACGCAATCTGCCCACACACAGTGCAATTGCATACAGATTGGCAATGAGCTTGACCTAGCGTTTAAAGGCACTAAAATACGATACAATCTAATCCAATCTAATCTCTCCAATCTAATCTCTCCAAAGATATGAGCACATGCTTAAATACACAGAAGTCACTAATTAATTTTAAGCTTTAATTTCCCGAAAATGGGCAGTGCATAAAATATGTACAAAATATAAAAAGTTACAGAAATACAAGAAGACACACAAATTACTAATCACTATAAAATAAAAAGGGAATAAAACAGAATAAAACTTTTACCAAGAGCTATCCTGCGACTGGAGCAAGGCAGAGCGTCAGCAATCCGTCAGTCAAATCAAACTGGCTCCATACAAATCACAAATGTCCCAATGCCCGGGTACTCCTTTTATGGGGATATGGACGTAGGCGGGTCATTCGTCCTCGGCCAATTGACCATGGGGGGCTGCTCCTGTACCTGCCCACAGGATGTTCTGGATGCTAACTGCCCAAGTTCAATCGGACTAAGACCGGCTTGAAACACCAAGTCGGGGAGTGGATTTCCGACACCAGCGCATCAGTCCGATCGCGACAGTACCAAAGACCATTTGACTGTCGCAATCCACCGCCACCTAACCATTCCCTGCATTTTCCTGGCATTCTTCCTAAGCCACAAATAATGGTTTTTATATGCAGATGTAGCCTACAGAGTGCCCAAATAAAAGGGAGTATGTTCATCTCTCTGCAACTAATATTTTAGCTTTTATGAGAGATTAAACATACCCCTTTTGATGGATGGATATACCTTTAGCTCCCTGCTGTCATGAAGCCGGAATGTCTGGAGCCACTTCCTTTAACCGGTTTCAACAGAAGGTGACAACCTTATTAACACAAAGGTGTCACATCCCGGAAGCTGGGCTTTTCAGCCTAATTGATGCCTCTGTGTCTGAGTACCTCTGACTGAATATACATCCTTAATGACAATGGAATGTCCCTACAGAATATACATCCTTAATGACAATGGAATGTCCTTACAGTTACTATTACATATTGCTACTGATCACATCTTATCTACTCAAATCTATACATTTATGTCACAAGCATGTTACATCATGTCACATGTATGTTACAGGCATCCTTGAGTTTTGTGTGCTTTTGGTGTTCTTTATTTTGCCTACCTCCACAGCTGCATCTTAATGTTGTGCCTCCAGCAGTATACTGAATATGTTGCCTAGTAATATAATATGCTTCTGATGCTTGAGCCTAGTACACACTGCTAGTTTTCTTTTCGTTCAACCCAGCGAGCTGAACAAAAAAAATATGACAGCTCAGGAAGAGCTGCTGTACCAACTATCTGATGTTAGTACAGCGATCTCCCCTGCTGTGCTATTGTGTTCTGATGGGAGGATGCCCCCCCCCCCCCCACCCGGCCATTGGCTGAGAGTGTTGATCAGGAGCCAACTTTTTTTTGGTTATGCCCCTTTGACAGAAGCCAGCTTCGATTGGACTGGCTGCCATACACAAGGACCGAATTTCAGCTGGTTTCTATTGACCTGGCAGATGCCAGTTAAATAAGGATTTACCCTTAAAGAGTCAGTTCACCATACATTAATTGTTTTTTGTAGATGCTAGAGAGTTAAACTACCTCATAGTACCTTGTATCACCTCAAGTGGGCCAACAATGACAGTGAAATGGCCCCCAGGCATACTTTTTCTTGTTGACCGGTCTTAACAGGTGATATACCTTCTTTTGAATGGCATGCTGAAAGCGATTAGGATCATAAACATTTACATTTGTTTGGAATTCTGTTTAATGTTTTAGCTAAAATAATACACCTTTGGGGGTCAGAAAGTCCTCATCAGGCACAGATGGTAGTACATGTTTAAACAATTGGGATAAATAATGCCTCTGGTCTGGCAAAGAGACTATATTGAGAATGCCAATAAACTTTTACTAAAACTGGAGCATTCATAATCCGGTGCAGCTGTGCATGGTAGCCAATCAGCTTCTAACTTCAGTTTGTTTAATTAATCTTTGACAATAAAACCTGGAAGCTGATTGTTTTCTATGCAGAGCTGTACCAGATTTTGCATGCTTCAGTTTTAGTAAATCCCATTAGATGTTATTAAACATTGACCTGTCTTCTTGAGCTACTATTTTGTCTTCTAAAAATGTCTTCTAAATTATTGTTAGAGTCAACTAATTCAATGGAAACCTTTAGCAATTTTACCTATTTTATTTTCAATATGGCAAGTATGCAAGACTTCACCAGATCATCGGATTTTACAGGTTGTGTTTTATGGAGCTGGAGAACTTTCTATGCAAGGAGTCATGCACAGATTAAAAAAATGCTTTAAATTGCTGTTCTGATACTGGGTTTTCAGAGGGTGAGAAAGAGTTGCCCCCTCCCTTCCCACAGCTGCTGTGAGAGTTCTGTGTATGATGAGATCTTTCACTTAATTTTGCTTTGGAAGTAGGTGAAGATGTTTCTAAGAACAGAGTGGTTCTCTTTTATCTTCGTGTTCAATGAGTTTCTTCTGGGTCCTTTGCTGTTGCTGCTGAGAGCTTGCTGGACCTGGGGCTTGCTGGCCAGGAATCTGGAAAGGAAGATGCTCTACTGAAAATGTGAACTTGGCATCGTTTTAGGAATCTGAGGGTACTGACCGAGAGAAGAACTTCTCCCACCAGATTAATAGGTCCTCTGATCCGGTTTTTATTCTTAGAAATTGCGCCTTTTGTTTTTGTAGGCTTTCCTCCTTAAAGTGCTACACAGGGGAATTGCTTAAAACTGTAGTGTTTAGTGGAGTTTGGCAGAGGTAGACCGCACCAAGCCATATCTTTGCTGTTATTTGTTTTTTCTGCATATGCTATTCTTTAGTTTATCAGGCTCTTTTCTTGTTTTGTCTTGATAGCCTTCCCTCTTTTAAAGATGTACATTGATGAAGAAAATGAGCAGCTGGTCACGGGATGTTCTGATGGAATGGTAAAATTCCCATTCAATTAATTTTATATTAGTGCTTGAATTATAAAAATAAATTTTATATATTCATTATAAAAATAAAAAAAATATTTACTATTTGATTGTCTCTAGTTACTTGTTTTTCTCAAGATAAACATATCAGTGACAAAATGGCTTATTAGTGAAGATAGAAATATGAACTGTTAAATTTTTTTTTTTCAGTTACGAGCTTTTAGTTTGGTAAAAGGACATAGTTTTCGATGCCTGTGCAATATTGATCTTCGAAAGGAGAAACTGAAATTTTACAAGCAGTTTGAAAATTTTGGACAGTCTGGAAGCTCAGGTATATTAAACTCTGCCAATAATATTTGTCAGTTATAACACCCGTATCAATGACCTTTTATTATATGACCCTGGTAGTAATAACTTAAATGGGAAGTGTGGGAATAGTAAATAAACGTTCATGGGACTGATGCTGCAGCAGTCCTCTGCTGACTCTAAACCTGGGAACTGAACAATTGCATAACTGCTGATCGCTCAGTTCTCCGTCTGCTCTGAGCAGTGCATCACCGCTCTATGTTCTACCCCTCCAGTGCTCACTGGAGCACCAGACTGTGGAGGGGGAGGGAGTGGCTGGTTTAGGTTCTCATGCTGAGAGTCTGAGCCAGCTGATGTTCAGGCATCTGGGTGGATCCTGATATTGTTGTTGGGATGCTTTCATATCTTGAACTGTCTCTGTGATTTCAGCCGACAGTGGGCTTTACAGGAGTGCACTTCTGTGATCCAGAAGAGAAGTATGGCCAAACGACGCTTTGGCCATTCTCCTTTTTTAAACAAATGGCTTCTTTTTTATACCAAAAATGCTACCATGCATTATGATCGTATATGACTCTCCATTGCTTCCAATAATAAAGTTGATTCTGAATTTTGGGGGCAATATGACACACCTACATTGAAGGTGCTCATTCAAACAGAGAGTGAATTTTCCTCCTGTGAGAGGGAACAATCCTACACTTTTCCATGAAGATATAAGAGTTATAGTACCCATGGGCTGCAATTAAAACCTAACTCCACATTTAATTTCTCTTTAAATAGTTTGTTTGGGCCAAGCTAACCCAAACAAACTGCATTAACAGGTGAGATTGCTGGGTGTGCTGTATTAACTGAATGTAGCCTCAGCTACATACAGTATACAATGCTGTGTGGTGGCAATGGGACAGAGACTTCTCCCACTCCCTGGACAAAATAGAATTGGGCTGAGGGCTGCTCAGCCATTCACATGAATTTTTGTATTCTATGAATAAATACAAAGCTTACTCTGATTGGCTGAGAGGTGGGTCGACTTCACAATCTGTCTCAACCAATCAGAGGAAGCTTTGTGTTAATCCATACAATACAAAGCTTCATGTGAATGACTGAGCAGCACTCACCCCGACTCTATATTGTTGCGGGAGTGGGATGGGAAGTCTCTGTCCCTGTGTCAGAACATAGCACTGTATACTGTATGTAGCTGAGGATACATACTATTAATACTGTGTGCCCGGGGGGTGCACCTGTTGGTGCAGGAAATATTTTGCATTTTCCCAGTGCAGTAGGGCAGCCGCTGAGTTTGGGACTGGAAGCTGTTGGAGATCATTGTAGTAGTGGTATCTACTACAATGATTTCCAGCTTCTAGAGGGATCCCACAGGTATGATATATTTGTAGTTACATTGGTACAATTTGCACCAATGTACACTGGATATAAAAAGTCTACACACCCCTGTTAAAATGTCAGGTTTCTGTGATGTAAAAAAATGAGAAAAAGATAAATCATCTCAGAACTTTTCCACCTTTTAATGTGACCTGTAAATTGTACAATTCCGTTGAACAACAAACTGAAATCTTTTAGGTGGAGGGATGTAAAATAAAAACTAAAATAATATGGTTGCATAAGCGTTCACACCCTTAAATTAATACTTTGTAGAAGCACCTTTTGATTTTATTACAGCACTCAGTCTTTATGAGTATGAGTCAATCAGCATGGCACATCTTGACTTAGAAATATTTGCCCACTCTTCCTTGCACAAACACTCCTAATCTGTCAGATTGCGTGGGCATCTCCTGTGCACAGCCCTCTTCAGACCACTCCACATATTTTTGTTCGGATTCAGGTCTGGGCTCCGGCTGGGCCATTCCATAACTTTAATCATATTCTGGTGAAGCCATTCCTTTGTTGATTTGGATGTATGCCTTGGGTCGTTGTCATGCTGAAAGATGAAGTTCCTCTTCATGTTCAGCTTTCTAGCAGAAGCCTGAAGGTTTTGTGTCAATACTGACTGGTATTTTGAACTGTTCATAATTCCTATTACCTTGACTAAGGCCCCAGTTCCAGCTGAAGAAAAACCGCCCCAAAGCATGATGCTGCCACCACCATGCTTCACTGTGGGTATGGTGTTCTTTTGGTGTGCAGTGTTGTTTTTGCACCAAGCGCATCTTCTGGAATCATTGCCAAAAAATTCAACCTTGGTTTCATCAGAACATAACGCATTTTCCCACATGCTTTTGGGAGACTGAAAATGTGTTTTTTGCAAAATTTAGCCAGGCTTGGATGTTTTTCTTCGTAAGAAAAGGCTTCCATCTTGCCACTTTACCCCATAGCCCAGACATATGAAGAATACGGAAGATTGTTGTCACATGTACCTCACAGCCAGTTTTTTTTGCCAGATATTCCTGCGGCTCCTTTAATGTTGCTGTAGGTCTTTTTGCAGCCTCTCAGACCAGTTTTCTTCTTGTCTTTTCATCAATTTTGGAGGGACGTCCAGTTCTTGGTAATGTCACTGTTGTGCCGAATTTTCTCCACTTGATGATGACTATCTTCATTGTGTTCCATCGTATATTTAATGCCTTGGAAATTCTTTTGTATTCTTCTCCTGAATGATACCTTTTAACAATGAGATCCCTCTGATGCTTTGGAAGCTCTCTGCGGACCATGGCTTTTGCTGTAGGATGTGACTAAGAAAATGTCAGAAAAGACCTACTAGAACAGAGGCACTTTAAATGATGGCAGGTGTGTACTGACTCCTATTTAACATGATTTTGAATGTGATTGCTTAATTCTGAACACAGCTACATCCCCAGTTATAAGAGGGTGTGCACAATTATGTAACCACATTATTTTAGTTTTTTTATGTTAAACCCCCCCCCCCCTAAAATATTTCAGTTTGTTTATCAATTGAGTTGTACAATTTATCGGTCACTTTAAAGGTGAAAAAGTTCTGAAATTATTTTTGTCTCATGTTTTTACAGCACAGAAAAATGACATTTTAAAAGGGGTGTATACACTTTTTATATCCACTGTAGCTATATAAAAAATATCTATACTTCAGATTCTTCTTTTAAAATATGAAAAAGCGAAAACACTATTCATTACCTTTAAGAGTATTTTTTGCAACAGTAATCAGCACATTCTTCAGTTTCCATGATTTGACACTTTTATGTACTTTGAATTAAAGCAGAACTCATCATTTAACTGTACTGAGAGAAATATGGAGGCTGTCTTTGCTGACCCCTTCTACAATGCGAATTTCCTGGTTGTTTTGCTAAACTAATGTTTAAAAAAATTGTGAATTGCTGTCCATGACCAAGTATGTCATAATGTTCTGGCATCACTCTGATTTAAACTGCTGCAAGTATGTTCTAGATCAGAGGTTTGGGAAAACTGCCAGGCAACAATCATTTTCAGCAGAAGGTGAGCAATAGTAGTCTCTATATTTCTTTCAACTTTCTTTCAGTGGAAACCGTGGTTTTTTTATTTCAATTTTATCTTTATTTTTATAATACATTTTTATTACAGGGTGTTTCCTTCTTCAGTGTTTGGAGTACATGCATGGCTATCAAATAAGAAAGCCCAGCAATAGCTCTGCACTTATTGACTTCTGCAGACCGAAAATCTAGACAGCACCATCTGTACTTGGGGAAAGGGAGGGAGGGAATTGACATTCATCGGTGAACCGTTAAGTTGCTGGCTGTATTTAAACATAAGAAATAATTATTTTATTTTTTTACCTGAATAAAAAATAGTATGTTTAGTGGTGTACATAATGCACATTGTAAATAAGGAAAACCCTGTGCATTAATAGCATTGGGAACAAAAGCATATACAGTATATTTAACCTAACTTTTGCTGTCTGATGTGCAACACATCTTTTAAATAGTCCGCATCTGCATACATATTACTGTTTCCCATTGTTTTTAGAGAAAGAGAAGGCTAGCGATAAAGGTTTAGGAAATGAAGTGGATTCTGGTCTTCCCATACTGCATATAATGAAATATAAGCAACAACTACAAGAGTTACACATGTAAGTTATACAAGTTAACAAGCACCTGATACATTTTAGTTGTTTAACCACTTTTTGAAAACAGGGTTATTTAGTATATATGTGGAGTCAAAATCTGTTTTTGAAATGTTTGGCATCATGTTTCACCGTATACAGATTTCTGGAAAAAAAAATAGAATAAAGTTTCTTACTTGGGGATGGTGCCAGTAACACATCTTTTCAGGCTGACAACCTGTGCTGGAGCCTTACAATTAGCAGCAGTGTTGTCATTCTTTTGTATGTAATCTTTCAGTTGGCCATTGTGTTGCCTATCAGTTCTGTGCAGACCTGATAGTTGGAAAGGGTAATGTTGCATAACTTCCTCTAGAAATGATTTACAGGTGTGTGTTTGCATGTAGAATAGTGCAAATAGAGAAATATTCAATGGGTCACAGGCAGGGGTGGACTGACAACTCATGGGGCCCTCGGGCAATAGGGGGTCATGGGGCCACTGTGTCCTTGCCCACACTCAAAGCACACCCAAAAAAGCGTATAAAAAAGGTACCAGGGGCATTTCATGGGGCCCCCTACTGACCCCGGGCCCTCGGGCAGTGCCCGAGTGCTCGAATGGTCAGTACTCCCTTGGTTACAGGGAATACTGGTATCAATAATTAATTTAAGGAACAAACCGATACCCATGGAAACCAGGCAGTATCCATCTTTTACTGGTCTGACACTGGTAAAGTGAATTCTGATCGTTTGGTATACGTTATTATACTTGGCACACAGAACTTTTGAATTTGCAATGGCTGTTGAATACAGCCCACAATTTATGTTTCTTCCATCATATTAAAGCTGAACTCCAGGCAGACAGCTACATGCACAGATGAAATATACTGTATGTATATATGATGAAATATACTGTATATAGAGCTGTTTTAACTGTCAAAGGATTTGTATTGCTGTGTATACAGTCCTTAGATTTACACAGCCCTGCCACAAAGCATAGTCTAGCAGGAGATCTAACTTTTCTGTCACGCAGTTACACTTTCAGGTCTCCTACCCATCCCCACTCTTTGACTAAACAGTGAAAGAAGAAGCAGCACATTGATGAGATTATATGTATGTCACTCTGTTCTGTCCCCCTATGAGCATGCATCTTGCATTGCAGCACAACAGCCTGGCTCCTTGTGCTAATTCTCTCTCTTCCTTTTTGAGCTCTGCTGTACAGAGATAATGAGAAGCTGGTATCATGTCAAATTCAGGTATTTACACTGTTTGCATTTGAAACATACGTTTAGTGATCTAGTAGTGACCACAGAGCTCCATTTATTTGTGCCTTTTTATCTGCTTGAAGTCCAGCTTTAAACTCCATTTATAATCTGCTAACAGTTTTCTGAAAGACCAGACTGAAGGCATTATGGCTGGTTAAGTTTCCAAGAAATGCATTCCAGCAGACATGCTGCTTGTGTTATGTTTTTGTTAGTGTAGTTTGAAGTATAACTAAAGGCAAAACTTTTTTTTTTTAATTTTTAGTTTTAGACAGAGTGGAGAGGGATTAGAACACCTATTAGGTTTTTAGTGCAGCCTGTGCCCCCTGTGGAGATTCATCCTCCCTATTTGTCCTGTTTACCATTCTCATTAAAAGTGAAAGTAAAAGAAACCCCTGATTTTGGGTTGTCCCCAGATAAGAAATAGAAGGAACGTTTTCTAATGGAGACACTAGTTCTCGTGACCTGGTTGTCCTAAAGGAATTCCTCTAATATGCAGAGATTTTCTCTCACTTCCTGTTTTGGCTGTGGGACAGGAAGTGAAAGTAAATCTCCCCAATGGGACAAAAAAAAAAAAAAAAAAACTGATAGAGGTTATAACTCGTCCTTACTCTATCCAAAGTGAAAAAAAAAAAAGTTTTGCCTATAGTTCTACTTTAATACAAGATATTGTAGTAATAAACCCAACAGACTAACTTTTTCTCAAAACAGGTACATTCATGCATGCTGTGAATGATAACTGTCACATTTGCTTATACTCACATCCCAACTGTCTAGGCATCAAATGGCTGGTGTCATAACTGATCACATTTTCAGCAACATGGACACTGCAAATAAAACAGAGGCTTCCTTGACTGTAAAGAATAGGATAGTTTACTTTGTTTTAATCAGTTCCTGGAAGGTTTTCTCACCTTCCTGACCAGACCATTTTTTGCTATTCGGCTATTTCAACTGGTAATTGTGCGGTCATGCAATGCTGTACCCAAATGAAATTTATGTTCTTTTTTTTTCACACAAATAGAGCTTTCTTTTGGTGGCGATTGATCCCCACTGTGTTTTTATTTTTTTGTGATAAGAACCTAACTTTTCTATTTTCTGGTATACAAAAATATCCAATAAACTCAAATTTAGTCATACATTTAGGCCAAAATGTATTTTGCTACATGTCTTTGGTAAAAAAAAAAAAATCCCAATACATGTATATTAATTGGTTTGTGTGAAAGTTATTGAGTCTACAAACTATAGTATTTACAGTATATTGGAATTCACACAGCTTTTTCTTTCTGACCCAATCACATTTCTTGAGGTGCTAAAATGCCAGGGCAGTACAAAAACCCCCCAAATTATTACCCCTTTTTGGAAAGGAAGGAATTTGATAAGAGGCATGGTGAGTATTTTGCAGATATCATTTTTTTGTCACAAGGTTTTGGAAAATGACAAAAAAATTATTATGTCACAAATAATTTGAATTGTATTGCACTAAAACACAATATACAGTATAATTGTTTGATAGATGATGTTGTGCTGAGTAAATAGATAACAAACATGACATTCTTTAAAATTGCACATGAGCGTGCATTGTCATCAAACTACGAAAATCTTTAATATCCATAGGCGACACTTTAAAAACCTTTTACAGGTTTACACAGGAGGTCTAGTGCCATAAATACTGCCCTCAATCTGATGTTTGCGGTGATACCTCACACGCATGGTGCAATCTCTGTTTACATACTGACGCTTCCGTTGGCCTTTGTACGCAAGCATGGGGGAGAGGGGGCATCGTTGATTTTTTTTTACTTTTACACTGTCCCTTTTATTTTTTCATTTAATCACTTTTATTGTTATCACAGGGAATGTATATATCCCTTGTGATAGCAATAGGCAGTGACAGGTACTCTTTTCTGAGAAATCTGGGGTCTATTAGAGTCTAGATCTCTCTTCTGCTCTTAAAGCATCTGATCACACCAGGATTGGTGTGATCAGATGCTTTTCCAGTTTAAAAATGTTGCTGTGTATATATATACGTCGAAACCAAATTTATGAAATTCTCTGGTGCCCCGATGGGACGTGAGAGCCTGAGAAAGCCATAGAAGGCAGCCGGGGGGGGGGGGGGGGGGCATTTCTTCCCACTGCTTGCAAAAGCAATCTGGATTTCTTTTATATGAAAGCTAACCGCCAGCTGAAAAAAAACTATACCAGGATGATGTCTGTAGCTGCAGGCATCATCCTAATATAACTACTCAAAGTCCAGCGATGTACTAGTACATTGCTGGTCCTTGTTGGGCATATATGTAATGTTCTCTTTTTTTTCATCAGAGTGTTATCACTGAAATGCATGAAACACATTATCATCCCATATCTTTGCCTGGCTATGGCAGCAGAGAACATGGGCATATGATGAATCAGGTTTGTGGGCTAATATGACCGCAATTCATTCATTTTTGTAATGCCCATGTTGAGAGTTAAGCCCAAAAAAGTTTTAAATTTTTTAGCCCACAGTCAGTTGATGCAACTCTTCTGTGAAAAACAGCGGAGGGGCTAAACACCTGTGCTGGCAGTGAACAGGGCTGATCTTGCTAACACTGCATTTTCGGGGACACTATACTAAGGGGGCACTAGTATAGTTCTGTTCGTGATCAGTATGTTGATCTGTACGAACACTATACTAGTAATGCCAGTGATCAGCGACCTATAGCATAAGTACGACAGTGTTCGGGCAATCTAATGCTAGCTGACCCTAGCTGGGAGGAATGACACTGACTGGGTGACAATCAAAGGGTTAATAGGGGTGATCAGAGGGTTAAATGTGCTAATCTAACGTGTGTGTGTGTAAAATGTAGTGCTTTTACACACATTGTGGTGTTCTGTCTTCTCTCCGTGGACCGTTGTGCTAACATTATGATCATGTGCAGCACCCCTCTGTGTTAGTACAGCCAGGGCGACGTACCAGTATGTTGCCATTTCTGTAGCTGCCGCCCATCTGCAGTCCTGTGGGCGGTTGGCAAGTGGTCAAAGCAGAACTAAGCCCTCCTATCTTTTAAGCTATAAAAGCTGTCATCCTAGCTTCTGTTTGAACTGCAGTTGCCATGCTCCCTTATGACATCATCCATTTGATGGCTTGACAGTGAGGTTCAGAGAAAAAGCAACTGTCACAGTTATCATTCACAGCATGCCTGAATGTAACTGTTTTGATAAACAGTTAAATTGATGGATTTAGTTCCACTTAGGTATACTTTCCATTCCCTATAGTGATAAAAATGAGTGCCCTTTCATATTCATATGAATTTTTTTCTTCTCCAAAAATGTATATGTGTATGGGCAGCATAAGTGTTATTTCTGTCTGCTGCCTTGTTCCTCTGTTATCTGTCACTTTGGGCAAGTTTTCCAGTCACCAAGAAGTTAAAAAAGTGACAGAGAAGGGGGCTCCAGCACACAGCCTGTGATTGATAGCCCCAGCTCTATTCTGTGTGCTGTGTGAAGGGGGTGTGTGTCCCTTCTCTCCAATCAGCTCTTAGAGGGTAACTTCAGCTCCCCGTCTCCTCCATTTTATATTATTAAATTCATGTACACTAATGATTTTGATTCAGGAATGAATTGAGTGCATTAGGTTTCCGCTGCTAAAGATTCTCGCAAGCTGTTCAGTATTAGTTTTTTTTCTTTTTTTTTCTTTTTTTTTCCTGTGACTTTTAGGCCTCATCGTGGAAACCCTGCTCTTCTGTGGATAGGAAGTTCTGCTGGTACAATTTTAATCAATATGGCTACCTGTGAAGTGGAAGCAGTTTTACATTATGAAGGTAGGAAGCAACAATAACCTCTTGTGAAATTGGCCAGATCAGTTTGTTCTGGTTCTGGAATCTCAATGTTGTTGGGTTTTCAGCATGGAACCTGCATGCTTTCAACAAAAAGCTCCCAAATCAGTACTGAATATTCAGAACAGGATTTAATTAGTGTTAGCATGTGGTTTAGTGGTTGGGTTCTTGCTAGGCCTCACTTTTAGGGGTTAAAGTGGACCTGAAATTAAAAAGTAAAGTTTTAATTTGTTATAGGGAATAGCTAAAAATGTTAAAGTGATTGTAAATGCAAATTAGAAAAAAAAAATTTCAAACAGGAAAAGGAATTGCACAGAGCAGCCCCAAGCCTCCTCTTCTAGGGTCCCCCGTCAGCAGTCCTGGTTCCTCCTTTTCAGTGAGTGCCCCCATAGGAAGCGGCTTCCTATGGGGCACTCATGCAGGCTTGCTCCCAAGCCATGCTGCCTGCATTCATAGACACAGCTAGTGGGGCTCAACCCTGCCCCCTGTTCATTTGTCACTGGCTTTGATTGACAGCAGTAAAAGCCAAAGCCTGTGAGTAAAGCCTGTGAGACCTGGAAGTGAGGGGAGAGAAAAGCTGCAGACAGGCAAAGCACTGGATCGAATGAGTGCTAAGGTAAGTATAACAGGGGTAGAGGGGGCAATACTGATGCCTAAACATTTTTTACCTTAATACAAGCAATGCATTATGGTAAAAAATGTTTCTGCTTTTATAACCACTTTAATTGTGCCTAAGCAGTTCCCAGAAAGATTTACTCTGCGCTGAAAAATTAAAGCGCACTTCCTGGTATTTAAGGGAACGTATGCATCCCTGTGCCTACTGTAAAGAGAGAGGCACTGCTGGGATGGGACTGCTAGAGATATAATTACTGTGCTACCTGCTGGAGATTCCGATCCGCTACTGGAGACATTTTGTGCTTTCTGCACCTATACTGCCACTACATTTGCCCCACCAGTCTTCAAATTCCCAGTCAGCTCTGACATGAGAAAGCAAAGCTGTGTCTACTATGATGATGTTGCCTCCACAAAGAAGCAGTGCAGAAAAGGCGATGGTAAAGTCACTAATGAGGAAAAGATTACTGCTCAAAACCTACAGACAATACTAGTGATTAGCCCTTCATCGTGTGCTTGCTTTTTTGGACATATCCAGATTTTAGGTCATGTGGCACCTAATGTGGTTGTAAACCTCACCCATGAAATATGAAGAAAGCATATCCCTCTATTGTGTGTACTTGTATCAATCCAGAGCTCTAAGTGTCATTGCTGTCTGCTGCCCCGTTCCTCTGCTATAAGCAAGAGTCACTTCTGATTAGTTTTCCTGACACCCAGAGAAAAATGGTGACAGGGGAGGGAGCTCAAACAGATTGACAGCCTCTGCTTGTTTCCTGTGAGCTGTGTGGAGCGGGGTGCATCTCTTCCCTCCAATCAGCTCCCAGAGCTCTCCTCACTGAGCTCTGCAGAGTATAATTTCAGCTCTCTGCCCCTTTTTCTAAACTCTCCGATAAGCTTTATAAATTCTGGACTTTGAACAGCTGTATAGAAGAGAATACTACAGATAAAAACAGGTACGACGTATGTAGGAGGATTTGTTTCATCTCTTTGTATCACCTGAGGCCAGTCACTATACTGGCTACATGTAAAGGTTTACTCCTACTTTAATCTTACAAAATAGGTTTAAATTTAATTAGTGGCTATTAAATGCACCTTAAAGTAGTTCTAAAGGCAGAAGGTTTTTTTTTTCTTTTTTTTTTTTTAACCTTAATGTATTCTATGCTCGAGTGCCCCCATATCAAGAATCTTGCTATTGGGGGTACTCAGCTGGAGGGAGGAGCAAGGACCGCCAGCTGGGGACCCAAAAAGAAGAGGATCAGGGCTACATGGAAAACCACTGCACAGAGCAGGTAAGTATGACTTTTTTTTTTTTTTTTAATTCCAACCTTTAGAATTACTTTAACCTGGCCATACATATATAGATTTTCAAACAAACATTTGTATGAACATTCATATGTAAACTCTTATCAGTACACTCCAATATGAATGTCGTTCAAAAGTACTTTAAAATTGTGTTTGCTTTTAACATCACATTTTGGAATGTTCCTGTTTTGCGTTTTTTTGCGTGTTTTTCACGCATTAACGCACGTCACACATAGGGCAGCCCATTCGCTTGAATGGATTTCCCTACACATCACAATTGCCCAAAGAACCTCCTGTACTTTTTTTTTGGAGCAGAGCATGGCGCTTTTTTTTACCGCTCTTTTTGGTGAACCCCGCTGAGCCTCAGCTCTGTTCCTGTAAGCTGTGTGAAGGCGGCTGTGTGCCTTACGTCTAATCGGCTCTCAGAGCTCTCTTCATTGCCCTGCCCCCTGCTTTTCAGAGCTGAGAGATCTTCTGTAAATTCTGCACTTTGAATCAATGTAGAGGAATGATGGCTATAGATAGACAGGTACAACGTATGTAGGAGGATTTGTATAATCTCTGTGTATCACCTGAGGCCACTCACTTCACTGGGTACATGTAAAAGTTTAGAACCACTTTAATATTAGGACCATCTGCTCTTACTGTCCCCCCTGCGAAGTTCCACAAATTCCTGTTGAGCCTTTGAACGTCCAACGAATGCAGCCTATTATGATAGTGTAGCAGCGAAGCCACACTTTTGGGTTCAGAGCAGAGTCACCACTCTCATATGAGCTGTGCCTGGTTGAACTACAGTGGAATTGAAAATGTTGCAGGGGTGTAGATATCTGCATGGCCACTCCTGGTTCACAAACCTGTTGCTCAGTGGATTTCAACTTGTCCTATAGGGGGACAGCTGCGGCCTTTGAAAGCACCAAAGTTCCTCACATAATGACAGTATATGTAACTAGAAAAAGTACAATTTCTGGGGAAATTGTGTGAAGTGTTCTTGCATCCAACCCTAACCAAGTGATTGATCAAATGTAAAAAGTGCACATGGCAAGCCTGATAGAGTGAGAAATGCATTTGAACTTTTATTTTGCAGCTAACAGTCTAGCTTTGGTCACTCTACTGTCTGCTGACTCACCTTCGGTTGATATGGCAACTCACTCACTCACAGCAAGCTGAGAGGAGCTTTTATAAACACACTGCTCCAACTTGCTAACTTCACTGGTGGTTGCCATCTTCAAACGGTTGTAGTTTTAAAAGTATAAATCCTACAGCAAAGAGCTTTATATTGTGAGACTCACAAGACCCAGACCTACATTTTGGTGCATAGTATGGAGTGCCGTGGTAGTCCATTGAAGCTTCCTGTCAGAATATCTGCTTGCTCACACATCCCGTACGGCAAGCAGATATTCTGACAGGTCTGCAGAAGACCTGCATGGCATCAGCAATCTACTGATTGCTGGTGCAATGCTTTCCAGGCTCCTGTAGACAAAAATAATAAATGCACATTTTTTTACCTGCAAAAAAATGTGAATTTATTATTTTTGTGTAAAAGGTGAATTTATCCTTTAAGTTGAATTTGTATGTAAGTTGGAACAGGTACATTTTTAAGTGTAACCAAATAATTTTAAAGTTTTAGATAGCATAGGGAAGGGTTAACTGGCCATGCAGTGATGTGGGATTGCTGACAGATCCTCCAAATAGTAGGTGGCAGCAGCATGCAGTGAGCAGAAAAATGGCTGCGTGACGGTTTCTGTGACCAGCGTTTTGTCACACTGCCTCTGTTCTTTAGTATGAATCGTATGTAAGTCGTTTGTTTGTAACTCGGGGATTGCCTGTATTCTGTAATAAAAAAGTGCATCAAAAATAATTTTTTTGGGTGGAATATGAAGGATTTTCTCATTTCACTTAATTTTCTTTGGAATACTTTTTGTATCAGTTTTTATAATATTTTAAGTTCTATTATGTTATGTTATATGCTAATTTCTATTTTTTTTTTAAAGATTATGATGAACTCAGTGTTCATTTGGCTGGATCAATGTCATTGTCATGTAAAACTGGAAAGAAAGTAAGTTTGTTTACATTTTGATTAGGTTTATTGTTTTTTATTTTAAAACTGATATTATTATCACATGTTAATTTATATTTGTGCATAATAAGTAAGGTTTTAATAAATGTGCTAAATCTGACCGTTGTCACAGCAGCAACCAGTCCCACTGGAACTAGTCTGCAAACTTGGCTGACAAAGAACTTCACTTAATTAGCTGACTCAGATTTTCTGTAATCAGTTCTGTCATTTAACAGTGTAAATGCAAAGGACTAAACTAAGATGGGGCATCTCGCTTCATAGATGTTGTACAGCCTCAACCTATGATCCAAGGTGTTATCCACAAATAAACTGATTGGAAGACTAACAAGATAATTGCAGACACCACAGAAATTCTACACATCAGTTCTGTTGTTACTATACGTTACTTACCTTAACCTTTTTAGGCCAAGTTAAGTTTACTTTAGTCAAACATCACTGATTCCAAAGTGGTTAACTGCAATGGAACGTGTACTGATTGGGATTAGTTAGATTGTTGGGGAAGCAGGCCAGGTTAATATTCACGAAATGCCCAGAACCTTAGAAATATTCTATGCCCTCCATCAAACCAATAATGTAATGCTATAATTGTGTTGTATTCTTTTGCAGGATTTTTGTTTGATTGCGTCATTGTTTGAAAATCAAATATCACTTCTTGAAGTTGACACCTGTACTTTGTGGCGGTTCCAGCAACGGGACCTGCAGTCCTGTGCATTAGAGACTAATTTGTCTATTGTTTCCAGGTACTTGAAAATAAACGTTTTACAATACTATAGATTTCACAGCCAGTCCTATGTGACAGTTATTATGATTGACCTACTCAGGACTGCACCTTATAATGTTTATTTTATCAGCAGATAGCCATGTTGGATAAGCAGTGAGTCTTTTTTTATTAATCTATAGGTAATGGAAGTGGTACATAGACCACTGAACATCAATAGTATGGTGACAAAGTTCTTTAATGCCACACTGCCCAAAGATGCAGGATTACTTCCTTTTTTTTGTAGACTTATTTTAGCATATCTAGAGAATGGAAATGATTGCACCGGATCCCTTGAGATTGGGAAATGATTCTTGTGCTTGTGGGTGGTGGCTGACAATCCCAGCCATACCAGAGTTGGTGTTTTTACCCACTTGTGGTTGATATGCCTTACATAAGCCTGAAGTTTACAAAGGCCTCCAACTACCCTTTTTCCTTCACAAAATGATCTTTAAAAATAAAATCCAGCAGTTGGATCAGGACCATGTGTCCAACTGTCATTTAACATCTACTGCTAACTTTAAGCCTTGATTCACATATATGCGAATTTGGATGCTTTTTGAACCACAGCGATTCGCATGGCATGTACACCAAATGGCGTTTTTTGTGAAACCTGTTCATATATGTGCGGGTTGGCCGCAGTGCAATTTGAAAAAGAGTCCTGTGCACTTTTCAGTCCAGTTCAGGTGCGATTTCCAATCTCAATTGCAGCGGATTGGGCTTTAAAATCACACTACAGACTGACCCACACATATGTGAACCCAGTGTAAGAGTAATTTATTATTAGAAAAGAACCTCTAGGTGCATTTGCAAGCTTGCTGTGGCAATTCATCTTCCTAAGCTGCCATGAAAATGTTCAAATGCCTCTCAGGATAGACCAGTGCAGACCTTTGATAAACGTGAACTCAAACTCTAAAGCTAGCCATATACTATATTAATTTTGGTCTGTTCTTCATGAACCAGCTGAAATTCTCTTAGTGAGGGGCCCCATGGGCCCCCACTCACACAACTTCCTTCAATTAGATGCACCTGCTGTTTGAGTGTTTTTACAGCAGGCGGGCTTACTGTCAAAAAATAATAACCACAGTAGGAGATACATCCTTCCATACTGTATAGTGTGGATGTGGGAATCTCTTTGATTGATATATATACAGTTGCAAGAAACAGTATGTGAACCCCTTGGGATTACGTGGAGTTTTGCATGAATTGGGTATAAAATGTGCTCTGAACGTCATCTAAGTCACAACAATAGAAGAACACAGTCTGCTGAACATAATACTACACAAACATTAGATGTTGCCATGGTTTAATTGCACATAACATGTAAACATTCACAGTGCAGGGAGAAAAAGTATGTGAACCTTTGGACTTAATAACTGGTTGACCCTCCTTTGGCAGCAATAACCTCAACCAAATGTTTCCTGTAGTTGCAGATCAGACCTGCACAACGATCTGGAGTAATTTTGGACCACTCCTCTTCACAAAACTGTTTCAGTGTAGCAATATTCTTGGGATGTCTGGTGTGAATCGCTCTCTTAAGGTCATGCCACAGCATTTCAATCGGGTTGAGGTCAGAACTCTGACTGGGCCACTCCAGAAGGCGTATTCTGTGCTGTTGCAGCCATTGTTTTGTTGAATTACTTGTATGATTTGGGTCATTGTCCTGTTGCATCACCCATCCTCTGCGGAGCTTCAGTTGGCGGACAGATGGTCGTACGTTTTCCTGCAAAATGTCTTGATAAACTCAATGATAAGAATCCGTCCAGGCCTTGAGGCAGCAAAGCAGCCCCAAACCATGATGCTCCCTCCGCCATGTTTTACAGTGGGGATGAGGTTTTGATGTTGGTGTGCTGTGCCTTTTTTTCTCCACACATAGTGGTGTGTGTTCTTCCCAAACAACTCAATCTTGGTTTCATCTGTCCACAGTATATTTTGCCAGTAGTGCTGTGGAACATCCAGGTTCTCTTTTGCAAACTTCAAACGTGCTGCAATATTCTTTTTGGACAGCAATGGCTTCCTCCGTGGTGTCCTCCCATGTACTCCATTCTTGTTTAATGTTTTCCTTATTGTAGATGTGTCAATAAAAATGTTAGCAAGTGCCAGAGATTTCTGTAGGTCTTTAGCTGACACTCTGGGATTCTTCTTTACCTCATGCAGCATTCTGTGCTGTGCTCTTGCAGTCATTTTTACAGGACGACCATGCCTAGGGAGAGTAGCAACAGTGCTAAACTTTCTCCATTTGTAGACAGTCTGTCTTACCATGGACACATGAACATCAAGGCTTTTGGAGATACTTTTGTAACCCTTTCCAGCTTCATGCAAGTCAACAATTCTTGATCCCTACAATTCTTGATCTTCTGAGAGCTCTTTTCTGCGAGGCATGGTTCACATCAGACAGTGCTTCTTGAAACCAGTAAACCCAAAACAGGTGTGTGTTTTTTAAGGGCAGGACAGCTGTCAGCAACACATCCAATATCATCACACTGATTGGAGTCAAGGTTGGCTCACTCCTGGCTCCAATTAGCTCTGGGAGAAGTCATTAAGCTAGGGCCTCACATACTTTTTCCTCCCTGCACTGTGAATGTTTACATGTTATGTGCAATTAAACCATGGCAACATCTAATGTTTTGTGTAGTATTATGTTCAGCAGACTGTGTTCTTCTATTGTTGTGACTTAGATGATGTTCAGAGCACATTTTATGCCCAATTCATGCAAAACTCCACGTAATCCCAAGGGGTTCACATACTTTTTCTTGCAACTGTATGTGTATTGTCATCCTAACTAAGTACACATATTTCTATTTCATTTAATGTTTGCGTTATTTGTTAATGTTTATATATTGATGATACATTACCACATTACATAGTACAAAGAACCATTCTTTGAGGTTGTGGGAGGAAACCAGAGGAAACCACACAGACTTCAGAAGAAAATACAGACTCCATGCCCACAGTGAACAGCACATATCCTCATCACACATATTGTTTTATTTAAATATATAACTGGTATTTTATGAAATGTCTGGGTTTCTAATATTTCAGAAATTATGTAGAAGCTGGTTTCTTCCTCAATGGAGTAACTTAATTCGCTCTTTAATTTTTTTATTTTAGTAACCCTCTACTATCAACATCTCCATTATGTTTTTCACTCTCCTAAAAAATCTGCCAGTACAAAGACAAGTGGTTAGTAAAACCAAACCAAATTTATATATACTGTATGTCTTTGGTAATAACTTTATATTGCTTTACTATAACCTCTGTGGTTGAACGTGTGAGCTGTACAGTTTATGAGAACTTTGGGCAACTGTAGCAAACAGGGAACCTGTGGTGATTCTCCCATTCTCAGTTAAATCTTGCATTCTCTAACCTACATTTCAGTAAAGTTTTGACAGTGTAAGGGGAAATGAAAGTGCTGGCCAATGTGGCCTGAAAGTGTCTCATACCGGAGCTTTATATTAGCCACTTAAAGGTACAAGATTGCATTGTACTCATGATATCGCTTCTTTATTAAGATGAGTAAACAAAATTGCACAAATCAGGATCTGATATCTGTAAATGTCTATCAATTTACCGCTACTGAGCTGGCTTGTTCATCTTGTTTTTATTTTCTCCAGAGAAAACCAACTCTGAATGCTAAGCAAATAGGTAGCTGTTCCTATAGCTAGCAGGATAATCAATGTTTGAATGTGTGTGCTATACAATTTATTATACAAGGAGGCCAGTCAATTTGTGAACTTGCAGCTATATAATTTATTATACAAAGAGGCAAGTGAGTGTGTGGACCCTTGTTATACCAATACAATGCTGCCAGCTTCAGATTCATGTGTTAAACCCCTGCCTGGTACTAAAGGTCATAGGACACTCACAAACCTCTTATGTCTCCAAAAAAGAGGTGGACAGTATAGAATTTGTTCATTCATCTGAAACATTGTCAGTTCACATGGTGTATATTACTTGTCTACTCACATTAGGGATAGTAAAATTGCACATTTGTCACACTTCCTTCTTGGAGCATCAGTGATATAGAAGAGTCTTTCAGTACCCGTACTCATTCACCAAAAAGATGACTAAGTCCTTTATTAACCCCTTCGCACTGGCGCCTCCCGACCCTTTAAGGGGTTTCTGATGCCGGGAGGCGGGGTGGGGTTTAGGGTCATGTGACCGCCATGATTAATTGTCACTGCAGTCACATGATCAGAAAGGTCCTGATCGCAAGAAGAAATTGGGACCTTTCTGTGGGACACCAACACGTGCTGTGAACGCGCAGGGCACACGCTCTCAGCACATGTTTGTTTACAAATGGTATGCAAATATGCTGCCGCTCTGCATCAAGGCACAGCCGCTGAGAGGCCGCATATTTGCATACACTTGGCGTGAAGAGGTTGCATAAACATTTTAAAAATATCCCCAATGTAGATCCATCGTTAATCACGAACGCTGCCACCACTCGCACGACAAAGAGAAACGCACCACATCGGGGGGAAGTGGCTTTTCATTCAGGGGGAGCTAATCGCTGGGAACCATTTTTTTTTTTCTGTGTGGGCAGCGGTGGCATTCATCCTGATTGACAAAGGATCTACATCGGGGACATTTTTTAAAAAATAAAAATCATGCGTCACAAATTGTGCTGTTTTTATTTACACTAGTCAATTTTTTGGTGAATGCGTAGGGCTGCTATGAACCCCATATTCACATGGGAGGCTGGGATCTGGGGGCACCCTTGTTAAAGAGAGTTCCAGATTCTGATAAGCACCCCTCCACACCCTCAAGACCACTGGTCAGGTTTGTGGAGTTTGTGGGTAAGAAGCCCTTGTCCTCATCAATATGGGGACATGGTGCTTTGCCAGGTGCTCCCCCTGACAAAGCACCCCCCAATGTTGAGGGCATGTGGCTTGGTATAGTTCAGGAGGGGGGAAGGGATGCACACTCATTCCCCCTCTTTCCTGGCATGCTGGGCTGCAGATAAGGGTCTGGTAGGGATTTTGGGGAGGACTTTACACAATTTTTTTTTCATATGAGGTCCCCCCAAAATCTATACCACACCCAAAGGGACTGCTATGGATTGGGGGGGGGGGCACATGTGTTTTGATTGTTTGTTTGTTTTTTTGCTCTCAGCTCTTTTGTTTCTATTCTGCTGTCTGCTTGGATTCCAGGGATGAGTCGCTGGTTGTTAGGATGCTGGCAGGTGCTGGCTCCTTAACAACCTGCAGTGCTGAGCTAAACTGTCACATTTAGCAGTGGCAGGAATATCAATGCTAAATGTTTCAGTTCCTGCTGCAGCAAAAACGCACATTAAAGACAGCAAAGAACAAAAAAATTACCTCATGCTGTATTTAACATGCATTTTTTTGTGAAATACATGTTCATGAGTTAAATACCATATGAGTTATTTTAACTCCAATAGTCATGCAACATTTAACTCGTAGTCAACTGAACCTGTGTTCCTTATACATGTAGCAGGATATTGTTTTTTACTGCAATGTTGAGAGGTGTGTTCTGTAGTTTGACAGTATTTTATAAAATATAGTTTGCCCAGTTTTGTCTACCATGTAAGTCCTTATGTTTTATAAGAAAATAATATGTGTTATTTTTAATGGCTTTAACAAACTGATTGCCTGACTGTGCCATGTTGTTACCTCATGCATCATCCAAAATAAGTATGGCATAAAATCATTTTTCCTTGTTAAACAGATTAAGTTAGTAAGTGGTAATGCAAGCCTTGAAGCTGTCTGAGGATTGTGTGCTGACTTCTCATGTTCCAAGAGGTTTGGCGCTCTTTAGATTGAAATCACCTACTTGTTATAGCATAAATCTTGTGAGACAGCAGCTTCTGGTTCAGCAGTTTTTTCTTATATTGAGCAGTTTTATAAATATTCTTGGAGTTTTATATGCTATATTTAAAATGATACTAAAGCTTTGGGTTAAAAAAAAAACATGTCATACTTACCTGCTCTGAGCAGTGGTTTTGCACAGAGCAGCCCAGATCCTCTTCTTCTTGGGTCCCCTGCTAGCGCTCCTGGCTCCTCCCCTTTGACCAGTGCCCCAAATAGCAAGCCTCTTGCTATGGGGGCACTGGGGCGTGCCCTTTTTAATTTGCCTGGAATGCACCTACAGCCACGGCTCGGCCCCACCCCCTGCTCTCTCTTCATTGGATTGTGATTGACAGCAGTGGAACAAATGGCTTCTGCTGTTGTGTCTCAGCCAATAAGGAGAGAGAGTCCCGGGACAGCTAAAGCTCCCATGCACATCGCTGGATTGAGAGGGGGCTCAGGTGAGTATTGGGAGGGGGCTGTGAAGGAAGCAGCACACAGAAGGTGTTTTACCTTGTAGGCACCAATCACAATCAGTTGGTTGTATTTTCACTTGCATGTGCCTCGACCCCCCCCCCCCCCCCCAAGAGGTCTACACATCTGTTCTGGTCCTTCTTCAACTTAGAGATATTCCAATCTTCAGATACTTCAATGATCTGCTGCTGTGAGAGCAGACCTCCCTGGCTTTGGACTGAATGGGGTTTATTTACTAAAGCTGGAGAGTCCAAAATCAGACTCCCTTCTGCATAGAAACCAATCAGCTTCTAACCTCAGCTTGTTCAATGAAGCTTTGGCAATGAAACATGGAAGCTGATTGGTTTCTATGCAGAAGGGAGTCTGATTTTGGACTCTCCAGCTTTAGTAAATAAACCCCAATGTGTCCATCATTTGGTGGACGTTGGAGGAATACAAAAGGATCATAACAATGAGAAGTAATTACTGATTTCATTGCTTCACTTTGAGTAATTAGGAAATCTCTTGGATACTTTTCAGTCTAAATTTTTCCTGTTCAGGCAGACGTTGACAGAGTTGTAGAGTCAGGTTCAGCAAATTCAATCTTTCATGCAGTGTTGCATACAATTGCTAAGACTGATCATATTTAGCTTCAAAACTATTTCATTTGCTCAACTCCACTGGAGAACCATGGGACAAAGCAAGCCTTTTTTTTTTTTTTTTGACATGATGATCTGTTTCCACTTCAAAACCAGGATCTTTGTGATGGTAGTTTCTGTCTAGGTTTTTTTTTCTTCACTTATCTTGGGAGATTGATTGTCACGAGCCCTCCATTCTGACAGCTCACCTGTCCGAGTACTATCAGATAATTCCACAGCTGTGGTCATCAGGAGGGCATCGGGAGTTGTTGCTGTAGCAATGGAGGTATAATCTATCCTGTTCTGGGAAGAGCTTCATGTTCCAGTGATTTCAACATTACACATTACCTGGGTGAAAAGCTGGCAGGCACATTTTCTCAGCAGATAATGTCTGGACCTGGCACAATGGGCTTTGAGTCCAGAAGTATTTTGTGATGCTGGACCTGACTGTGGACTTCTCAAATACTGTGGCGACGCTTTAGGATCAGTTAATCCTGATCTATGTATTTCCTCCAAATAAAATTTTACCTTTTCTACTTTGGAAGATTGAGGCTGAGAGTAGTCCAGTAATTCTCATGGCTCCAGATTGGCCTTTACCTGATCAGCTGAATCTGTTTCCTTGAAGACCAATATTCTACCCTGCTTCTTTGTCACTAGCTTTGACAGCCTAGCTGTTGAAACCCAGGTTATGAGCGATAGGAGCATTTCAGAATCTATACTTATTTTTACTGATGTTAGATTATGGGGGTTCCCTATGTGCCTTTTCAGTGGACTTTCTTTACTCTAGGGCAGTGATGGCGAACCTTTTTGAGCCCGAGTGCCCAAACTGCAACCCAAAACCAACTTATTTCTTTCAAAGTGCCAACACTGCAATGAAACCTGAATATCGAGCTTTTGGTTTAGAAAAAAACTCGTACAGTAGTGCAAACTAATTAAAGTACAGATGACAAACTCGTACAGTAGTGCAAACTAATTAACAGTACAGGGATGACCAGAGACTGCGGACAGTACAGGGATGACCAGAGACTGCGGACACAGTACAGGGATGACCAGAGACTGCGGACACAGTACAGGGATGACCAGAGACTGCGGACACAGTACAGGGATGACCAGAGACTGCGGACACAGTACAGGGATGACCAGAGACTGCGGACACAGTACAGGGATGACCAGAGACTGCGGACAGTACAGGGATGACCAGAGACTGCAGACACAGTACAGGGATGACCAGAGAC